GGAATTAAATCACTCAACTTGATATTATTGTGAACAACAATTAACAAAAATCGAGAGATAAAAAAAACTACAAACAATAAACTAATCAAAATGATAATTGTTGATAAAACTTTTGAATATTACATAAGTTATTCAATTGTTGAACATAATTTACATCAAAAACCAATGATTTATCAGTTAATTGCTTCATCATTTTGTTGGTGATGATAAACAAGATTTTTTTTGTCTCTCATTCTGATAGTTCATCTTCATCATTTCCGTTTCCACTTTGTGAAACAAATACAATATCCAAATGTCATTGCGATTATTATTATTACCATCATCATTTTTATCATCATTTTGATCCTTTCATCACTGTGACAACAATTAGGAGACCAGAATGTTTTTCATTTAGCAATCCAATCAATCTGCTAAATTGTATTTTCACTCTAATTAACTTTTGCCTTGAAGATGATGATGTATTTAATAAAACGATGACGACGTGAACCTGTTCAAAAAGATGAAGATGATTGTAGATGATAAGGAAGAAGAAAAAAAGTAAGAGAGAGAGAGAGAGAGAAAGGAAATAGAAAAGATGAGGATGACAAAGAAGATGGAAAACAAAAATTTCTTTACAAGATGAACTAGGGAATTGAGTTGACAGTGAATAAACTAATTCCTTGACATGAATTGGTTTTTTTCCCGATTCTTATTGCTCCGAGTTGCCCAATTTCATCATGATCATATTTATGATATTCCAATGTCTTAATTAATATCTTCAAATATTCAGATAACATCAATTCTTATGAATATATTCAACAACCTATTCACTCAGGTAAACATTGAAATCTCACTATTAATACATTTGATCAACATCATCATTGATAGTAACCATTATAAAAGGATAAGCCTTTTTTTTATTCATCATAAAAGTGACTAAATTATAAGCAATTGTCGCTGTTGCTAACATGATGGAACTGAATTATAATCTCAGTTGAAATTTTCTTTTCCATGAACTTTAATGATAAAAACACTCACACACAATTCAGGAATATGAACATTATACTTTTCTCCCTGGTAAATGTCAGTTAGTTGGATTAACTTTTCAATGTTCAATACATGATGAATTCATAGATTATCGATAATAATTGACACACAATTTGTGCTTTTACCCTTTCATGTTAACTTAATCACCTAATCAATAATCGTTATAAGCTTTTGGCTTGTAAATTTTGTTACAATTTTGATTTACTTTCATGTCACAATCAAACAACATAATCAAAGTTTGTTAGTTTTTTTTAATATTTATTTTAAATTTTTGTTTCCAAGCAAAATGTTTACCGTTATATTGTTACCTGTAAATTGTAATAACAATTTATAATGATGTCTACGTTGTTACAATTTAAATTGCAAATCATTTTGTTGCCATCATATTTTTTAACAATAATAATAATACAATTTGGAAATTATTTCATCTGAGATAATTGTCCTTACTCTTGAAATGATTATGGCTTCATGATTCAATGTCACCTTGTAATTGTAAGGTTATCATGGTGATAAGTGATGAAGATAAAACTATTATAAAGGTTCAACTTGTTATCTTATCATGAAGATGAAGATGATAAATGAATGAACGATCAATCAATAAATTGTTAAGACACAAATCGATAATAAAAATATGATTATATTATTAATATGAATGAGCATCTCTCTGGTATTAAGATTAACGAGTGGAAAAGCAGATTAGTGTAAATAAAACTCAATCCTTGGCTATTAATGATTACTAAGATGAAGATGAAAATGTTTACAATAACAACAGATAAGAATTGATTATTACACCATGGAGATAATTTTCTGATTACTCAGGATCGTTGATTGATTTTCGCCTTGAAACTTTGAGACATGGATTTTGATAATATGGAAGCTACAAAAAAAAATAACTATCTCTTGATTAAGGAAACCTTTCAATCTCGTTACATATTCATTTTGTTTATCCCATAGATTAGCAAATTAGAGGGGAAAAAGTTAATCAATTGATTATAATCCAAGTTGATCTTGAAAAATTGATTATGTTTTTTTTGTGCTGCTGTTTATCATCAACCTTGGAGTTATCAATTTATTATTATATGTATTGAGATAATCAAGTGTGTGTATATTGATTAGTAGCTGAGATAATCTGTTAATCTGTTAATCTCTTGGAGGGTTAACTTGGTCCTGGTGATTATTGTTTATTTTTAACAAAAAGAAACACAATGATTAGTCAAGATGATGTTAATTCTGTTTGTTAATTGGTTGAGCTTTCAATTTCCATGATAATCTCAACTTTTTCTTATCATCATCTTGTCTCTCATCATTTTGCAATCATCAGCTAAATTGTTAATCTAAAATCATTTACCGTTAAATTAAACATTAATTTCAACTTTGTAGTCTTGTAAGCTTATCTTTCAGTTTGTCTCTTTGCATGATAATATCATCATGATGAAGGTGATTAATTTCACACTGAATTCATCAGTTGTTTCAAAAGTAAATGATAAAAATATCAAAAGAAACCAGAGATTGCACTTTACAAGGATTTTTCTTCCTGTTCATCATCACCATCATCACCATCATCGTCATTACTGTGATTATCATGATGATTATCTTTTGTGTTTGATACTGGAAAAAATCATCATGGAATCAGATTAATTGTCGAAATTGTTAAAACTTCTCAAACCAGTAGTAGATTTTTCAATCCAATTTGATACAATTAAGGTGAAGAAGTTCATGTTTGATGATATTATCATTTACCTGGGAGCTTTGTGTGTGTTTGCTGTTTGTTTTCAGCTGAAAAGGTAAATAGTTTTCATGTAGATTCTCATTTGATTGGGTTGTTAGTATTTCCTTTTTTAAGTCAAATGAATAAGTACCGTTAGATATTGATGGTTAGTGTTTTTGTTTAGCGTTCGGTAGACACATAAGTTGGATGGATCGAGTTCGAAATGTTCAATTCAATTGAAGCGAAAAGTTGATCGTGTTCATCATTGAATAGACAAGATTGAAAAAGGAAAAGGAAATATAATAAAAAGTCTCATTTGCAAATAAGAATAATTTTTTCTCGTTCTTTTCTTTGACTTGGTTTTTTTTTCTCCATCCTTGAATTGATTATCGAAAGAATCAATTCTAACTTGTGACTCGAATAAATTATCTTGCTGATTATCATGATATTGAGATGAGTTAATCATTCTCTTTCGTTCACTTTCATTCATTTACTCGTTTATCATGATGATCATCGTTAGTTTCGTTAAGATAAAGGGTTGAACTTATCGAATGCTACCTGATCTGAAAAATTGGATTCGATTCTCATATTATAATAGTTGTTTTGAAAGAAGAAAAAATAATTGAACTTTTTTCTTCTTCTCTTCCATTTCAATGTTAATCCAACATGGATTCAAGTTCATGGAGTGATGATAATGTTGAATAGTGAAAATAAATGAGAACAGGGGAAGATGTTAATCATGAGCTGAGAATGTTAAAATCTTTGAGAATTCTGATTCTCTCTTTTTCTCATCCTTTCATCTTGGAATTTAAAATAATCAGAGAAACTTTTAGACTGGAAAAATTGAGATGCTCTTCATGATGATGATGATGATGATGAGTCTCTTTCAGTTGTTTAGTAATCACATGGATAACATGTAATCATGAATTGATGATAATCAGTGAGAAAAGAAAACTCGATTCTGACTCTGACAATGAGCTTTAATGAATTTCAATGAATTTCAATTGAATCGAATGCTTTTCAAATTGAGTTGAGAACTTTTTTCCCTCTCTATCACCAACAACAACACGAAAAATTTTTTCTCCAATATCATGAAATCAATTAATTTATCTCGCGAATCGAATATGAATTAATATCACTCTCACTATTCTATTCATACTTCTGTTTAATTTGATTCTTCTGAATAATTCTGATTGAATTGAATGGATGGAAAAACTTTTCTCGATCTGAAGGTAAATTTCAATTCTATCACAAGGAAACTCCCAATTTCTTTGTAAACTATTATAATAATATCTCGAGAATAATAATGATCATCATTTATATACAGAAAATGAAGCAAATATCAAGAAGAAAATTGCAACCATGAAACTGAGTGTCCAGTCAATTTGTTCAGAAAATAACCATGGGATATACAGTCAACAATCATGTTATCATGAGAATAATAATAATACAATGAGTTATTTATTCTCATTTCATAACAAGAACTGGAACTTTATATATGTATGAAGTTTCATGGGGAAGTTAAAAAGAAAAGAATAAAAAACAATTCGATAGCTGAAGAAAGAGGAAAAAAAAAGTTCTAATCAGATTTGAGAACAAAGTTTCTCTGACATTCGATAGAAATTCATTGGGTTGAATTTTATTCATTGGTATTGATTTTGAACTCGAAACTGAATTGAATAGCTAATTGTTTCCATGAGGATGGATAGCTGATTATCATGAATCTAATTATTATCAATATAATCATAGATTTGATAATCAACTGTATGAACAAAATGTCAAACAAATTTAATAGTTTCCATTGTTTGAACAATTTATTTATTACTTTTTACTTTGTGTTGATAACAATGATTATCAACAATCAACAACAATAAATATTAACACGCGATCAACAATCAAATTGATTTCCTATTATTATCATAATCAAATTGTAACGACAATCAATGAGCTTTGGGATACAAAAGTAAACATTTAAAAAACGATACCAATCAAATGATATTAATAGCAAATGATTGAGGTAATTTATTGATTGTTAGAGTTTCATCAATTATCAACTATGTTTAATTGTAAACTTTTCAATAACATAAAGATTTCAAGGTTACCCTGAAAATCAATTCCATCAGATTATCAATAGTTAATGAATAATACATATCATAAGTTCAATTGAATGATTAGTTGATTGTTTAAAGTTTACATGGTAACATTTTTTGGAACTTTTTTTCTCAATGGAAATTGATTGTTTTTCGAATTTTTTTTTACCCTCCAGGCAAATGCTCAACTTCGAAAGGAGGAATTTGCTCGATTATTGGAAGAACATGCCCAATTGGTGAACGAAATTAATCGAGCTGAAACAACACTCTTATGATTAGATGGAAAGATCAACACTCATCCACCCATCGGAACCCACAAGTGAACCAACCGGATAGGATTTTAAGCGAAAATTAAATTTCCCATTGGAAAACATGAAGAAAAACCAACAACAATTAACATCAATACCAATTAGTTAATCAACTTGGGGCTAGGGATCAACAGATACATTTATCCACACTTATTACCAGTCACAATTAAATAATGATTTGATTACCAACAACCAAATTATAACATCGCTCTAATCAAAATTACAGAAAAACAAAATTATTAACAAAAAAAAAGTTTCACTCTCTCTCTTCCTGATCTTTTATCTTCCTCTCCCATTGATATTAATATACAATTAATGTTTTAATTGTAAAACAAATTATAATTAACTATTAATAATTATCGTAACTCCGTGTCCAAAAAAAATTCAAGAAAATTATGAAAAATCAAACAATTAAATTACCAAAACAAACAAAAGTAAATGATTATATCGCCTAAATGAAAACAAGTCCAAATCCTTTCAATTTTCAATTGTATTATTATCACTTCCGTTTCCTGTATCTCTCTCACCATTCCCATTATCCAATCTGAATATATAATTAATTATCTTAATTATTGTTATATCTCTCGTTCATATTTCGTCCTAATTATTATTAATTACAAACATGGAAAAAAAGAGTTAATTGTTACTTTTGATTTGCGAAAAATCGAGTTGGAGTTTTAGAACCAAAGTTTCGAATTCGAAGTGAAAAGTTTTTTCTTTCTTTGTGAGAAAATTGTAAGGGAAACGCTTCGATTATTCTTTTCCCCTCTTAATCACTTTCTCTCTCCATCAACAATCAATTAATTATTATATTTGTTTATCCCGCTTCAATCTCTGTAACCAATCACATGTTATCTTACCTGCTTAAATACCTTAAGCGTTTCCTTTTCCTACACAGTTGCTACAGTTGTCACAGTTATTACCTATTGTCCACTACTCTCAACTCACCTTCATTATTATAATTACCTTACCTTACGGGTTATGTTAATGAGACAAGTTCTCTATCTCTCTCTACCTTTCAATTCTCAATCTCTCCAACTTCCGTTTCCCTCAATTGAATCTCTCAAAGTGTTACTTAAATCAATAAACAATATTTCCTTAATAATTGATTGTCACTGATTGACCTTGCTAATTAGTAAAAGGGATATTAGGGTAATCTACTCTAAACCCTTCTCACTGATTCTAAGGCCTGCAGTTCGATCATATCGGTGCATTTTGTAAGGGTGCCTGTACCTCATCCCCGTGAATTAATTAGACCTTACAAATGGTGGAGATTCCCTCATTTACTTACGAGTATTTACTTTAGAAAGTAGTGGCAAGCACTATCTTTGCTAAAGGTCATCGTGAAAAGTGTGTTCCTTTTACACGTGCTACTTAAAATTTAGTGTGTCTCCCTAAGCTTTTTAGCGACAATTCAGTTTCAATCAACAAAGTGGAGCGTTTGTCCTCAACATCGTCATCAATAGACTCAAAAATTTATTCATCATTACCAACATCACTCTCTCTTCCAAATCTCAGCACTTCATTTATCGATTTCTTCAATCGCAATACGCAGTGTAACGTCCACGATTGGACCTTCAATCAATCAAAAATGTCTGAATCATCAATTACTATTGGCGACTACATCAGCGATGAAAATAATCGCCAACACCTTTGTGAAGTCTACGGACTTAAATATTCTGCCCAAGGCAAAGCCTACACCACCAAGGTCATTCGCGAAGCGATGACCACCCAAGCTTTTATTTGTGGTTCCCTCTCTTCCTATTCATCACCCATCGATAAAAATCTACCTTTCGACCCTAAATTTCTCGATTGCCCTGAAATTCATCATAAATTAAGATCTTCCGGAATTACTGAAGAAAATCTTCGAAAGCTCATCAAAGAAGAAGTCATCGATGAAGGTAAGAATCTTTCTGAAGATTATTTGAAGGAACTTGAATTCACTAGCATGCAAATTAAAAGGTATTTTGATTGTTTCTCTGAGAAAGATGATGATCAAGGTGAAGTCAATGACATTGACAATGACGAACCTAATCATTATCATTCTCCAACTCCAAACAATAAGAGTAACAAAAACCAGCCAATTAATCAGACACCAATTAATTCAAATCAATTGTTTAACAATTCTATTTTTAATCCTGCGTTTTTTCAACAAATGTTCAGACCCAATTCACCTTCAATTCTTGATGGATTTAAATTCAAATCCGTCATTGAAGAGTACATTGAAAAAGGGTCACTGACTTTTTGCCAATGGCTCAACAAATTGGAGAGAAGAGTTTCCCTTCTTGAATTATCAGATCAACTTGCGATCAAAACTCTATGTGCTCAGGTCACTGACGATATTCATAAGGCTATTGATGAAATTATTAAGAATAATCCTAACATTTCATTTTCTAATTTAGTTAAACGAGTAAGAGAAAGTTTCGTCGGCGAAAGAGAAGTAGCCGAAGCCACAGAAAAACTATTCAATAAGAAATTCATCAAAGGCACTAATCCAAGTGATTATGTCTTCGAGCTCACTGAAGCTGCTAGATTAGTTATTCCGAAGATTCCCGATAAAGGAATCATCTTTCTTATTCTTCATTTGCTTCCAAATGAATTGAGTTTTTCATTAAGGCACAATTCGAATGTAAACACTCTCGATAAGTTAACTAAGTTCTTGATTATTTATTCTAACAAGATTAAGGATAATTCTTCTGATGAGAATTATGTTCCCACTCCCAATAATAGACGACAGAATCAAAACAATAATAACAATAGGAGATCAAACAATTACAGTTCCAATTCCAATTCCAATTTCACTCCCAACAAAGATAACCGATCAAATCGATCAAATTCATTTAATTCTCCTAATTCCCGAAATAAATCAACGTCGTCGAGTAATGATCAGAACAACTCATCATCACCAAATAATTCAAGACCGTCCAGAGGTCGATCATCAAATTACAGAGGACGTGGAAGGTCAAATAATCAACAATCAAGACCCTCCCAGCAACAAAATAATCAACAACAATCCACAAATTTTAACAACGCTCAAGATTCAAACAACAGTAACACTAACAATAATAATAGTAATTATTGTTCATTTTGTACAACTTATGGTCATTCGACAGCAAATTGTCAGGCTAAAATAGCCGCTGAAACAACAAATTGTATGATACATTTAACTAATAATCAGATCAACATGAGACCGAGAGTAACAATTAAATTAGATCACCCTGATGTAGCTAATATCGACGCCCTTCTTGATTCTGGCGCTGGTTCAACGTTCATGAGAAAAGATTTAGCTATTCGTTTAAAGATTCCTATCTATCAGAGTCACCATGAATTCTTAGGTTTATCTGGAAGAAGTAAACCTGTGAGAGCGGTCGGTGTAACTCAGTTGGTTTTTCGAGTAGAAAATCCTGAGAAATTGGACCCATTGCGAGTCTTTGTTCTTGAGGAATTACCCTTAGAAATGATTCTAGGTAAAAATTTCTGGTTCTGGTCAAACTCAGCACTGGAAGCTGATCCTGTTCAGGGATGGAAACCCACCAGATCTGGGAAGCCACTCAAGGTTACCTTGATGATTCCCGGACCTGCTTGTTTCCATCACCTCTTCACTACTCAATTCCCAAAGATTTATGGTCCTGCCCGTAACTATCCACCTCGCTGCAATTTTAATTCATCACAGTCCACATCTTCAGCCTCTCAATCAATTACAACCTCGAATTCACCTTCAAATACTTCTCATTCAACTGTAAATCATCAACAATTAATTAATCATCAATCAATTAATCAACATCAATCATCCAATAGCTACAATCAACCTTCAACTTCTAGTCACAATCATCTTAATCATCCTAATCAACTTAATCAACATTTTAATTCCTCTTCAAGTCTTAATCCAAATTCTAATTTAAATTTTCCACTATCAACAAATTTTAATCAATCAACAATTAATCAACAATCAAGCCATTTTAATCAACATGATAATCATGTCCTCCTCTCAGATGAACAGTATCTTCATGAAATTAAAAAAGCCAAATTAGACACAAGACGAGACGAATTTCCTCAGGAAATTTCAGATTTACAATCAACCTTAATTAAAGGCATTTCATCAAATTTAAATCAGCATCAAAAATCATCAATGATTAATTTTCTCAACAAATTCAAATCTGTTTTTTCTACGCATAAATACGACTTGGGTTGTATACCTGCCGAAATGGTAAACATTAAAATTGATATTGGCAATCATTCAATTCCTAAATGTAATCCCTATCGTCTTGGCCCCAAGAAACGAGAAATCTTGGATAAGAAAATAAAAGAACTGATGGAAAACAACATCATTGAACCGTCAAATTCATGTGGTGGTTCTCCCGCTTTTCTAGTAGAAAAACCCAATGGGAAGGATTATCGTTTGGTAACTTCTTTTAAAGAATTAAATTCGATCATGAAAACTCGATCATATCCAATGCCTAACATTGATGATCATATTCAGGCCCTTGCAGGTTATGAATATTTTATCACCATTGATTTCGCTCAAGGTTTTCACCAAATTCAACTGAATCCTTGCGAAAGAGAAAAAGTTGCTTTGGTAACTGAAATGGGTAAATTTCAATACGTTCGCTTACCCATGGGATTAGCTGATTCCCCTGCATATTTTCAACAATTTGTAAATTCTGTCTTTGGCGATCTACTGTATAAAGCTTGTCTAGCATATATAGACGATATTGTGATCTTTGGAAGATCATTCGAAGAGCTAATCAATAATGCTGATGCTGTATTCACGAAAATTAAAAATATTGGTTTAAAGGTTCAACCTGATAAATGTAAATGGGGACATAAGGAAGTCAAATTCCTTGGACATATCATCAGTGGTAAAACAGTTCGTCCTGATCCAGAAAAGATTCAGAGACTCAAAGAGTTCCAACCACCAAAAAATGTCAAGGGACTTCAAAGTCAACTGGGACTTTTTAATTATTTATCTAAATTCATCCCTAATTATTCAACTGTCGCTTCGATTTTATTTGAACTATGTTCAAAAAAGAATAAAGGAAAATTCAATTGGGATAGAAATCATCAAAAGGCTTGGCAACACATAAAAGATTCATTGATAAAAGATTGTTTGCTTTCGCAATTTAAACCTGAAGCTCAACATAAATTGATGGTTGATGCTTCATCAATCGCTGTTGGTGGCATTTTGCTACAATTAGAAGATAATGAATGGAGAGCAGTTTCATATTTTGGTCAGAAACTCGCTAAATATCAACTCGCTTACACGATAACGGAAAAGGAATGTTTGGCCGTCATCGTCGCTGTTAATAAGTATTCACATTATCTCAGTGGAAAAAGTTTTACGATCGTTTCCGATCATTGTGCACTTTGTGCTCTACCCAAAATTAATTTTAAATGCGCTCGATTGCATCGATGGGCCTCACTAATGTCTCAATACGACTACAAGATCGAATACAGTAAAGGAGAAACTCACCCAGCTGATTGTTTCTCTCGATCAAGTGAATGGCGCCACAAGAAAATTGGAGAAATAAACGAGGAAGATTATTATAAATATTTACTATTCGCTTTTGAGGATAACTGTCATGTGATGTGCAATGATTTGCATCAAGCTCCTCATCATTTAACTCACAATTATAATTGGATGGAAAAAGATGATACAATTATAAAAAATTTTGATTGTGACGACATTCAAATGATTAATGAAGAAAATAAATATCAATGGATTTTATTTTCGAAACAAGTAGCTGAACAAATTGGAGAGAAATTAGGTCAACCAGAAATTATCGATGACAAGTTAATTTCTAAATTTATTGTTACTGGTGATCAACTAAACAAACCCGATAATAATGAGTTCGACAACTCAAATGAGATTAAAAAGCATCAATCTAAAGACAATTATATTCGTGGTACTATTCGTCAACTGTCAAAGGGTTATTTAACTAAGCATTTCGTAATGAAACATGGAATTCTGCACAGGAAGTTGAATAATAACAATTTGGTAATTGTTCTTCCTGCATCTCTACAAGAGAAAGTATTCAGTGCAATGCACACAGAATCAATTGGAGGTCATTTTGGAGTTAAATCGACAACCAAAAGAATAAAAGAATTATTTTGGTTTCCTCAAATGGAGGAATGGATCAAATCAAAGATCGACAATTGTGATGTTTGTTTATCATTTAAACATCCAACAACTAATAATCATCGACCTCACCAAATGCCAATTCCGCTTCAACCCTTAGATCGATTACAAATCGATATCGTCGGGAAATTTCATCCCTCATCTCAAAGAAATGAGTATCTTTTTACCGCTGTGGACTATTTTACTAAATTTGTATTTGCTCAACCTACGAGAAATCAAAAAGAAAATGATGCTATCAAGTTCGTTAAATATATAATTCAGTTTATCGGACATCCGAAGATTATCCAAGTGGATAACGGACCCTGTTTTAGATCTAATGGATTTAAAGAGTTTTGTGAGCAACAAAAAATTAAATTACAATTTACTACACCTTATCGACCTCAATCAAATGGATTAATCGAAAGGTTAAATGGGATTCTTGGTAATCGCATCAACATGTTTACTGTTATTCCAAAGGATTGGGATAAATGGATAACAGAACATGTTCTCAGCTATAATTCTGCTCACTCGGAGAATTTACAAACTTCTCCCTATTTCCTGTTGTTTGGTAAACTACCAAATACTCCCCTGTTAAATGAATTGGAAATTCAACCTACTCAAACTGCTAAAGAGGAACTACAACAATTAAGAAATGATCATTACCAACGAATGGTTGGAAATCAACAAAATCGACTTGATTTAACTGATCCTAAACCTTTACCCTTTAAAGTAGGTGACAGAGTAAAAGTTTCTGTAAAGATTCAGAACAAACTAAGAGGAAAGAAACTAACAGCACCTTATAAAGGTGATTATATTGTGATTGAAGTTTACGATTCTGCTGCTTTAATTATTGGTCAGAAAGGTCCAGCAATTAAAGTTAATTTTGAAAATTTAAAATTGGCAGGCGATAGAAATGAAATTGAAGATTTGACTGATCAATCAGCTGATGTTTAGACAACATCAGTTATCACAAATTAATTAATCATTTGATATGATTAATTCAAAAGAAACTCCTGTCAATTTATCTTTTCATTTCTTTCATTCAATTCATCAGAAATTTATTAATTTCTATTTCTTTCAATCTCATTCTCTTACAAATTTAAACAGATAGATTCATTCTCCTTTCATTTTTATTGATAATCATAGTAAATTACCGTGAAAATCAATTTAGATAGCAGTGGTCATGTTAATTGATCAAGAAGTAAATTACCCCTTTGATCAAAATTATAAATTTAAAACACAGTTAACAGTTCAGAGTAAATTACCCTGATAACTGATTTAAATTTACCAAGAGACAAAATTAATTGACTCTTAACCCCTTTTACCCTTTGATTTGTGTTTCCTTCTTTCTCCTCTCCTTGGTGGAAAAATTTCAGTTTTCGCCATTGCCGAATCGTATTGATCTTTTGAGAGTAACCCTGTTAACAAACAAATTTAAATATTAATATAAGTTAAACAAAATTAATAAAATTAAGGAAATTGATTTAAGTTCACTTGGATCATAATTCGTTTCAGTTAGAAAGAAGATTCATCAATTTGATGTTAGTCAGATCGAAATCGAAACTTGACTGTTTTTAACATTAGCAAATCAATTGTTTTAATTAATCAAAATCGACCACAATAACCAAAGTAAATTACCCTGGAAATCGTTTCCATTTTGTTGACAATTTTCAACAATTAGCTATCTAATTTATCTATCTGATCTCTTTCGCTCTCTTACTAATTTATTTATTATCTTCTCTCTTCATCTCTTTCTCTCTTAATTATGAGAACTCATTGTTATTCAAAGTAAATTACCCTGAGTAACAGATCAGCTGAATTATGATCACAAATGAAGAGAAGATATTAGGGTAATGTACCCTAAACTTCTTTCCATTAAATCAATTTAGATTTAAACGTAACAAGAGCCAAAGAAACTTTGACCATTTCGTCATTTAAAAGTATTAATACTTATCTTAACTTTCCTCCATTTTGGTTCTCACGATAGATATTCGTCACCAACATGTTAAATAGAAACAAACAAAAGAAACAAATCAATTAGTTTTCAAATTCTATTTCTAATTAATACATAAAATTACCTTTTCAGTCGATTATCCAAATCAATTAGATTAATTTGTTCCTCTCAATTAGAATTCACCTTAAATATAAAAGAAAAGAAAACACTGAACAAAAGCTAAAGGCCAAAGTAAATTACCCTGAGCCTCATTTCAATTGCTGAGTCAATTAAATTCTTATTTTTAAAATTTGGGAAACAATCAAAACTAATCAATTGCTAAAAGTAAATTACCCTTATTCAATTGATTAGAATTAATTAATTAAACAATTTTAACAAAGAGAAAATTTTTACCTTCTGATGCAAAAGAGAACGTTGTTCCTATTCAAATTTTCTGATGAAGATTCTTCAAAAAGTAATCGATGGATTTTCTTAATTCTTACACCATTGAAAAGAGCATCACTTAATTAATAATAATTAAACAAATTCACAATTAGAAAAATTAATTAACTAATTAATTAAATCAATTAATTAAGGAAGTCAAAAGTAAATTACCCTTGTCTTCCTATCAATTGACCAACTGAATGCGCTTGCGCACCAACTCTTTCTCTTTGTTTCTCTTTCCCTCCAATAGAAAATTCTATTCTCTTTTTCTCTCTTTCTCTTCTCTTTCTTTTCTCTGTCTATTTCTCTGTCTATTTAGACGTTGGTCAAATTCTATTCTTTTCTAATTAAGAAAGAGTCAAATGTGTCTTTCACTTCAAAGTGTCACCATGTTTTTCAGTTTTCTTTTCTCTCTCCAAATCAAATCAACAATTAATTAATTATTTTTCTTTTATTTTTATTAATTAGAAAAGAAGATATTAGGGTAATTTACCCTAAACTTCTTTTGATTGATTCAATTAATTCAATTTAGATTAGAAATTGTCAAGTGTTACAAAAGTACGTTACCCTTGTTAACACGTTGTTTTCAGTGAACCACATTTTAATTTTTGATTTGATTTGATTCTCTTTTCTCTCTCAATTTCTATTTGAAATGTTTAATTTTCAACAATTAACTAAATGTTAATAACAATTGTAATCAACAATCAAGAGAATTTAAAATTGTAAATTTCCCTTTTCTCTCTCTCTTCCCAACAATCAACCTTCGCTCAATGTCAAAGTAGCTATTAGGGTAATTTACTCTAAACTACTTTGTTAACTACCTTCCTTATCCTATCCCAGTTAATTGTTAATTAAGGTAATTTACTTTATACAACAATTTAACTTATTCCCTTTCACCCTATTCTTCAACCACAATTAAAAGTACAAGTGCTAATTGCCAGTGGAACCTTGGTGGTGTTGGATAAGTTACCTGTTGTAAATTTTGGGATAAATTTATTATAATGGATAAGCAGTTGTCATCAGAACTAATTGATGAAGGTAATAAAGGTAATGAAGGGAACGATTTTATCAAGGAATTGGATGCTGATCAATTTAAAAAATTCATCAAATTAAAAGTGCTCAAAGTTTACAGTGAAGTAACTGAACGTCAATTCTCAGTTACATTTGATAAAGTTATTGTTCAACCTGGATTCACAGTTGATAAAATTAGTGGTGATCAACGATCACAAATTTGTGCTTTATGTGATCAAATAGCCCGAGTGCCAATGAAATGTTGTGATTGTACTTTCTTTTATTGTCGTTCATGTTCTCGATTTCTTCATATTCTTTCACAAGCCGTTCGAAATCAACCTTTAACCAAGAACATTAATGAAGAAAAATTGGGTAATAAACAGTTCTTGTGTCAATTCAATATTTGTGGCGAAAATGGATTCTCCAAACTCGAACCATTATGTGAAGAAGAACGACAAGAACTCACCAGCAATCAAGTTAATTGTATTTATTCAAATTGTACAGAAAATGGTGATTATGTTACTATTTGTAACCATTGTAAAAATTGTAAACAATCAAACAACAAATTTAAATTCGATTGCTCAAATGTGGCCGATTCATTTTTAACTAACGATGAAACAATTAATGATAATCCTAATGATTTATATTTCATCGATACAATTGGTCAAGAAAATTTCACCGAAGCAGATATTCAAGCTGCTTTCAAAGAACAAGCAAATTCTTCACTCCGTGCCTTATACAGTTCTGATGAACTCACCACATTATCAGATTCATCATCATCATCATCAAAAAGATCATCAGATACAGAATCAACTGTTCCTTCAAAAAAGAAATTAACTCCCTCTGAATATTTACAAAGAAAATCAAAAACTCTCATCCAGAATAAAATTGAACAATTAGCAATTAATCAACAATCAACCTCACCAACTCCATCGAGTTCAACCACAACAGCTTCAACAATTAAAAATCCATCAGCAGCCGATTTATTCATTCAACCAACTTCATTTGAGCTACTATTAGAAAAATTAGGTTCACCCTTAACAATCCCTTCAGCCAGTAAACAAATCAACAAAACTCCTGAAACAATTAAAGAAATTAATTTACCTTCATCATCATCACCTACAAATGAACCAGAGATACCATGGGATATCATTGAGGCTTCGAGAGCATTGAAATCTCAAGCCAATCACAGAAGAAAAGTTAATAAAGCCGCTCGAAAAAGAGGTGAATTAACTCCAGTAATTCTACCTCCCAAATTTACTTATAAGCGACCAAATGAAGAGGATTGCGTTGATTGGAACGATCCTCCTCCTTCTTCTTCTCCTCCTAAGAAACTAATTTCTTCAGAAAATTTAACTACAATTATCGAACGAATTCCTGATTCCATTCCTGATTCAGATCCACGAATTCACAGAGCAATTTCTTCAACTCTTTCTTCATCTCAAACCTCATCATCATCAGCTGTTCCTTCATCTTCTTCATCACAACAATCATCTCCGTCTCTTCCTTTATCTCAACAATCAAATAATTCGGATGATTCAGTTTTCAACTTTAGTTCGGCTTCCCATTATAAGCCAATTGTGTCGCAATTTCCTGCTCACACCGAAGAGACTGCTGCTACTCTAGTTAAGAGACAAAGATCTCGATATAAATATCGAAAGAAACGTCGTGAAACCTTCAATCAAAACAAAAACAACAAACGACAACGAATATACAAAAATATTATTCTTGCCAAATCGATTCCCTCATTACCTTTAATGATTCCACCTGATCATTTCGCTAAACAAATCGCTTCAGCTGTTGGTAAAATCAAAGAATACGATTTAAAAATTGTGCAATAGATATTGAAAAGTCAACAATCGTGATGAAAAATGGAACTTTTAGAAATGCACCAGTTTGGATCTCGATAATTGATCATTGCAATAATATCATTTATAATTCATTCATTCGACATCCATCATCATCCAATTGGGACATGCAAACAGCATTTCATGGTTTGACTTACGAAGATGTTAAATTTGCTCCTCCATTTTTAAAAGTTCGATCTGAAGTTCTACAAATTCTAAGAAAATTCGACAGAATAATTTTATGTGGACATTTTGGCGATTTATCCGATCTCTTTCTTACTCCTCAAGATCATTATTATCTTCTTCCCAGAATCGTCGATATTACTCTTTACTACAATTGTCGAATTCGATCAAAAGATGCACTTGGACTGAAATTCTGCGCTTTTGTTTTATTTGGGAAAATCTTTCAAGATTCTTATCATTCCCCAATTCTCGATTCTGCTTATACCCTTTGGCTTTATTTAATCGATATGCCCAGAATTGAATCAACTCTTCTCGAATTATACAAAACGAAACCAAGATTTACAAAACATGGTTATCGAGGTTTCAATTGGCCCTCAACTTTAATATGGGTGGTCTCTTAAAAGACGTTTTAAAACAAATAGGCGATTGGCCTGATTCAATTAAAACTAATCCAAAACTCCCAAGAAAAGTCCAAGAACAACAAAAAATTGAACAAAAATATTACCCTGAAGATTTTATTGATGGAGAAATTGATTCTAAACGGCCTTTGCCGTACAAGCATGTGAAAAGCCTCTTCTACGCTTACGAACGTCATGTTAGACCCATTTAAGGCCTAAACGACGCTTTGACCGGGGGCTCTGTAAGGGAAACGCTTCGATTATTCTTTTCCCCTCTTAATCACTTTCTCTCTCCATCAACAATCAATTAATTATTATATTTGTTTATCCCGCTTCAATCTCTGTAACCAATCACATGTTATCTTACCTGCTTAAATACCTTAAGCATTTCCTTTTCCTACACAGTTGCTACAGTTGTCACAGTTATTACCTATTGTCCACTACTCTCAACTCACCTTCATTATTATAATTACCTTACCTTACGGGTTATGTTAATGAGACAAGTTCTCTATCTCTCTCTACCTTTCAATTCTCAATCTCTCCAACTTCCGTTTCCCTCAATTGAATCTCTCAAAGTGTTACTTAAATCAATAAACAATATTTCCTTAATAATTGATTGTCACTGATTGACCTTGCTAATTAGTAAAAGGGATATTAGGGTAATCTACTCTAAACCCTTCTCACTGATTCTAAGGCCTGCAGTTCGATCATATCGGTGCATTTTGTAAGGGTGCCTGTACCTCATCCCCGTGAATTAATTAGACCTTACAAAATAAAAATCGCTTGATATGAATTATGACAATAACGATTTTATGTATATTCTTTTGCATGTTAACAATTAAGTAAAATGAAAGAATTAGATGGAGAAAAAAAAGCTAATTCGGTAATCGTAACTTGAAGTTTTGGGAATAAGTTTTCCTTTGATGGTTAAAGGAATTAACCTGATTATTTATTATTATTCATCAATATTCATGATCATGTTAATCAGAATAATTTCAGGATAATAGGTAAAGATTGAGCTTAGGTTGACAATCTTTGTCATGTTTCATGTTATTAATATTTAGGTTATAAAATGATTGGAATTAATTTCAAGATTCTTGTTTTCATCATGCAATCAGCTTAACAACATGAAATCCATTAGATGTTGAATTAGAGAGGATTATTGTTCTGGAAAATAATAGTCAACAATTCAGAACTTTCTTCCTTAATATAAATACTAACTATGAAAATCGGCATCACAATGTTGAGTAGCATCTTTAATCGTTCGTAAGCCTTTGGACTTTTTTTTTCTCATGGCGATTAATTTTTTCCTTAATAGCTTTTTCCTTTCTTTGACCTTGACCCTTGGCTTTGACAAAACGCTTCATTATCAGTACAGAATCCATACCCTAAGGACTTTTTTGCCTTCCAAAGGCTTTGGACAGAGCCATTTGATGTAAATCTTATACTTCGGTACGATGAAGAAGGGGTAGATTGTTTTTCATTGCGAATTCATTATTTCTGAGCAATCTTTATATCTAAATCCTCCTAGAGAAAGGAGAAACAGATGACAAATATTAGTATTAATCGCAATCAAATCTAATTTAAAAGTAGTTATTGTAATCGATAATAAAAAACTAACCTTCAGGGGCAAATCTCCGGTACATTGATGATTACCAACAAGGCACAATTGAACAGGTTTACTAGTGTTGTTGTTTTTAACTCCTCCAAGTCCATTTTTCCTTGCATCAGGTAATTCAGCTCCAATATTATAGACTAAATGTATTCATTGAAACAAAAAAAAAACAAACAAATTAATTGTCAATCAGTGAACCTCAAATTGTATTGATAAAAAGTAAACATTCAATTGACTTACCAAAAATACCAGGACCATGTAAAGACACCAATCATATAGATAATTTTCAATGTTATTATATATTTGTGGTGTAATTAGTTTGAGAGGTAAGAGTACAATCCAATTAAAGGGTGTCAAAAATAAAACGCTTTGAGCTCTGAAATGCAACTAAATTCAATTGGTTTTAGATAATTGTTATCTAGACAAGTTAATCAATAAGAAAACAATCAGATATTAATCAAGATATTCAGTGGTCAATTTATCTAGATAACAATTATCTAAAACCAATTGAATTTAGTTGCATTTCAGAGCTCAAAGCGTTTTATTTTTGACACCCTTTAAGAAAAATGTAACTGAAAACATGGTAAATATTATGAACAACAATCACATGGAGAGAAATTGAATCAATTTCATTTTCTTTTCCATTCTTGAGATTAGAAGACGATCCCTGAAAAAAGAATCACGTGACTTTTAATGTTCGTTTATTTTTCTCACATGTTTTTAAATTGTTTCGGTTTTTTTTTCTATTTTTTTTTGCTGGTTGATTGTTTTTTTCTTCTCTTGTTAATTATGGTTGATTATTCTTTAAAAGTTATCGGTGGTCATAATTTTACTCAGAAAAAGTGTATATTCTCTTTGGATGGAAAACTATTATTAGCTGTTGCCGATAATCTAATTAGGATCTATGTTGTCTCTGAGGGTTCACCTTATGGTACACTTACTCTTGAAATTGATAATCTAAATTCAAGATCATCTATTAAACATGAAGAGATAACCAACATTATTCTTGATCCTCTTTTACCTGATTCATCGGTGATCAGTTTCTCCAAGACTGGAAAGATAACTTTCTGGAATTATATTAGTGTAACCAAGACAAGAGAATATAATATTTACACTTCTCTCTATCCCGATCCACCATATCCTCTGACTCTCCTTTATGGAATGATAATTAAACCTGATAATGATAATTGTTCACCTTCTGATTTGACAATTTACCATGCGACCATGTGTGGTGAATCTGGTTTCATTTATTATACGACAATTGGACAGATTGAAAAAGCCAATGAAGAGAATGCTAAAAATGCGGAATCAACTAAATCGATTGATAAATCAGCTAAAAAGATCAAAAGTAAAGGTAACAATCGTAATCAAGCAACAATGGATAAATTGAAAGCCTCTGCTACAAATATAAGATATGATTCATCTCGAGCTTTAAATGGAATCGCTATTGGAGGAAGGAATAAATTTCTTGCCACAATTGATGGAAATTTTATCAATATAATTAATCTTCCCTATTCACCTTCTACCGGGGGTATTTCTCATAAACAGACTCGTAATTTCTTTACCTGTTTAACTGCCCATCCGAAAGAAATGCTTCTTGCTGCTGGAGATTCCATTGGTAGAGTTTACATTTACCGGGAAGATTTTTGTTTCTCCCGTCAGCCCATTCGAAGTGTAACTCATTGGCATTCATCTGCAGTTGCTGATCTTTGCTTCTCACCCACTGGTTCATACCTTTACTCTGGTGGATTTGAATCAGTTCTGGTTCGTTGGGATGTTTCATTTAGTCATAAAAATAATTTCTATCCACGCCTTGGATCACCTATTAAATTTATTGTCTGTGATAATTTGAATCAGAAAATATTAACCTGTCACGAAGATAATACATTTCACTGTGTCAGTTCAACTTTCGATACAAATTTACCAGCATTAGATGGATTAACTCTTCTACCTCCTAGTGATTTTCTTCGAACTCCCTCCAACATCTCATGGGATCCAAAATCGAGTAGCATTTTGTTAAAAGGTAAATGTGGACATCTTCAATTTTATTCACCCTTCAAGGAGCAACAATTATACCAATTAGATGTTGTCAATATGAACTATTTACCACCCGAAGCGGATAAAATAATTGTCAATGTTGATGTGGTTCGTTTTTGTATCTCAAGTAACGGTGATTGGATTTCGACACTTGAATATCGGGAAGATGGTATCATGATGCCGGAAATGAGGCTAAAATTCTGGCAATTCCTGGACGATGATTCAGAGAGAAAGTATAAACTAAACACTTGTATCCATTTACCTCATAAAAAGCCTGTTAATTGTATGAAATTTTCTCGAGATTCCAATTTTTTGATAACCACAAGTAAAGACACTGAATTTAAAGTTTGGCATTTGATTAAGGAAGAAGGTAAATCCGATAAACCTGATAATAAACTTTACTGGATTTGTGGACGTGTTGGTAATTTAAATCGAGTTCTTGTTCCAGAGGAAATTGCAACTTCTTCTGATTTCTCATTATTGGCAATTTCTTTCGGTTGTAATACAACAATTTGGGATTCAAGTGAATTTAATCTAGAATTTAAAGGAACTTTTATCCCACCCAAAGAATCAAATAATTCTGTTGATCAAAATTTACTTTCAATTGACTTTGGTACCGATAGTCAATCTCATCTACTTGCCGAAACCCGATCAACATCAATCAGAGTTTGGGATTTGTTAACATTATCAGGTTTGTATTTAAATGTTAAACATTAGACTGGATCAATTAATTTCTTTTTCTAATTAATTTCTTTTCTATTTACAGTTGTACAACTATGGAAACCTCCAAAAAATGCAAACATAAAGTTCAGTTTCTTTGACGAATCAACAAATCGAATAGGTTGTTACACTCGAACTGGTTGTATCTATATTCTAGATATGGAGAAAGAAATTGCTCGAATTAACTTAACCCACGAATCAGCTGATGTCCGTTTAATGGTCAGCGCCATTTTCTTTCCTCTACCAAGAGTAACGGAAGATGAAATTTTCTCCCATCAAGGTCTCATCCTAATGGATCAATCACAAAAAGTTTACACTCTCGGTTTAACCATTGACGATATTAATCTTAAAAATCCAATCGATGAAGATGAAGATGCCAAGTTATCACCTTACGCTCGAATGTTAAAAGCGGAAACTTTCAATATGAAAAAAGATGAGAAATTAAAACAATTAGAGGTCAACGATTATCTTGGACCATCGATCACCAGAAAGAAATTAATTGAAGACGTTTTTATTAATGTTCCCTCACATGTACTACCATCAGTTGAACTATTTTGTACTTCATTTTTAACCTCAATGTTACAATTAAGTTTATCCAATGGTAATATTGACAATGATGAGATCGTTGATAATACTAAAAATGAGGCCACTTCGAGTGACGCTGAAAGTGACACTGAAAGCATCGCAACGGAACGAGGGAAAGAGACACAATCAAAGGATAACAACAATGAGATGGACATTGATGATGAAGATGATAAAGAAAAAGTTGGATTTATATTCAATGAAAATTATGATTGGTTAAAATTATAACAATTAACCTCCAATGTAAACACTAAATTAATCAATAATCAATAATTGGGTTTACCTTTTGTTTTTGTTTTTGTAAAATCAACATCATAATTTAGATAATCACAAATTAATGAAAACTATTTTCCCTTTCATTTGATAATCAATTAAACAAATATAAATTGTTAAATTGCTATCGATTCATTTAATGTCAACTTTATTAGTCTTGTTAATTGTCGCGAAAACTTTACCAATTAGTCAAAGGAAATCGATTGAGTTGAGATTTTTGTTCATCTTTAATTAGATTTAATTCTGTTAAATTTTATCACCAATTTTTTTTTTCTTCTTCTATAATTACAATTAGTTGAGATTTTGTTTTATATTAGATAAATTTGTTGAACAATCGATAATCTTAATTGTTAGGCTTGGACATTATATTTATCCAGAGTTGATCAATTAATTAATTTACAACTTTACCGAGATTTAAGTAAAAGCTTTGATTTTTTTAGCAAAGAATTTAAATTTTGTTCAAAAATAAGCAAATGATTAATAATAAATCAAGAGAGTTAATTATTTGGTATAAATACATTAATAATCAGATGAAGATGACAATTAAACCATAGCAATTTCTTTGATTTAGAAAGGAAGATATTTTTTTCAATTACAATTAATTATTTTATTGCTAAATTTACAATAAGCAATAGAATGAGAGTTTTGTGAAGGGTCAAGAGTGGACATTACAGTTGATCCATAGTCCATTGATTATCGTTTTGATTGACTTTTCCAGAGCAATTAAATAAGGAGAAACCTTCATTCCAGTGATTTATTAGTTAATTGTAGTCACATTTTCCTCGCTTTTCCGATTAATTTTGTTTTCCAACCCATTTAGACTAATTTAGGTTAATCAACATTCTTTGTATTTCATTAATTATTAATTTTGATTAAAAAGGTAAATGAGAGAGAGAGAGAGAAACATTGTCCATCAACGAGGATTTCGAGGTTTGTCTGGATTGTCAATCATTTGGACACAATTGAGTGACAGTTTTTTGTATGTTCCTTGACTATTATTATCCTTGATTTAAATTAACTAGTAGAAATTAGAAACTCATTTAGTTTTGATGATAATGATCAAGGTTCTCAATTTATGCCAACATGATTGAAGTATTTTTTTTTGTATCCGAAAAGTGAAATAGTTGATTACACAGGGCAAGTGAAAATCAGGGGTTTTCTTTTAATCGGGATGATTATGATATTGATGATGATGATGAACCAAAGGATATAATCATGAAGCTGTATGGTTAATGGTGAATATGGTTAATTGATGAAGTGAAATCAGAATTTGAGAAAATTCAACAAACATCTTTTGATCATTCGTTAAGCATTTGGACCTTTGTTTTCTCATGACGATTGATTCCTTCATATTTTGTTCCTTCTTGTTTGTTTCTTTGTTTGTTTCTTTCAAGACAATTGAGATGAAATTTGGGAAGTGATGAGATTGTACAAAAAGTGTGAACAGTAAATAAAAATGGTGAACATAAAGATGTAAAATAAGTGGACAGCGAATATTTTACTAATGGAAAGGTCAACACGACGACCTTGACCGTGTGTTTTGAAAAAAGATTCTTTATCGGTGTAGAATTCATTCATTAGGGACTCTTTTTCCTTCCATAGATTTCGAAGCCATTCAATGTTAATCTTGCTTCGTTTTATCCGATAAACGTAGGGTGAAGAGGTCGCAGTACCAGTGGAAATGTTAGCAAAAGATGCTGATTGGTAAGGTGATAGTCCGTTAGATTGTTGTTGATGTTGATGTTGATCAATGTTATTAGTTAATTTATTTGTTTCACATAATATGGTTGATATTGAGTCCATGTTAACATTTTCATCACAAACAAGATCTTCACATATCTCGTAAACTTTAAATAAAATGTAAACGGGTTCAGGTCTAATTCCTTTGGCAATGTCAAAAATGCTGATTGGATTTTCTTGATCACAGTAAAATATTGTAAAATCGACTATATGAGTAATACCAATTCTTTCATCTAAAAGCTCTTCAAAAGCTCCATATCGAGGCCAAACGGTACGATTAAGAAGGGGTAGATTGTTTTTCATTGCGAATTCATTATTTTTGAGCAATCTTTTATATCTAAATCCTCCTAGAGAAAGGAGAAACAGATGACAAATATTAGTATCAAATTTAATTTAAAAGTAGTTATTGTAATCGATAATAAACAACTAACCTTCAGGGAAAAGGATAAAACAATTTTTACGTTGATCACTTAATCCAAGACAATGTTTAACCAAATCACCTTTGACAAAACTCTTCTGATTTAGAAAATAATCTTCATGGGTTACAGATACTGGACCAAAATTGGAATATTTAAACTCAGCTGACATAACCCACATCATAATGTGTTCAGGATTATGAGTTAAATTGTACATTAAAAGGGGCACATCTCCGGTACATTGATGATTACCAACAAGGCACAATTTAACAGGTTTACTAGTGTTGTTGTTTTTAACTCCTCCAAGTCCATTTTTCCTTGCATCAGGTAATTCAGCTCCAATATTATAGACTAAATGTATTCATTGAAACAGAAAAAAACAAACAAATTAATTGTCAATAGTCAATCAGTGAACCTCAAATTGTATTGATACAAAGTAACATTCAATTGACTTACCAAAAATACCGGCTAACCAGGACCATGAGGAAACAGTGTAAAGACACCAATCATATAGATAATTTTCAATGTTATTATATATTTGTGGTGTAATTAGTTTGAGAGGTAAGAGTACAATCCAATTAAGAAAAATGTAACTGAAAACATGGTAAATATTATGAACAACAATCACAAGAAGCCTAATATAACCATAGAGAGATATTAAAGGTTTCATTTTCAACTGATTTTCCACTTTTATTGATGGTGATGGTGTTGCAACAATTGAGCAACATATAAATGAGAAAATGATTGTATATATACACACACAGAATTATAATTAAGCTCTGGATAACATTTAAACAATAGATTCAAATTTAGATGATGATCTATATGGTGTTTCAATCAGTGGGTGAGGTGTGATGGTAATCAGGGTACACAATTGATAGAAAAGAATTTGCAATTTTCTTTTTTCACTTTCTCTCTTCTTAAATAATCCCAATGGTGATGTGGATGAACACACACTTGATTTTACTCCTTTTTCACTGAATTCTTGCCTCTCTATTGGTATTTATGGTCGATGAGAGAGAGAGAGAGAAAATTGAAGATTAGTATGAGAATTGTGAAATTGAGAGATGAGTGATGATAAACTGATGGTGATTCAGAAAGAGAAAGAGAGAGAGAGAGGAAGAGGGAGAGAGCGATGAGGTGATGTTTTCACAGAGAGAGAGAGAGAAAGAGAAAAATTTTGGTCTCTCTCAATATGACTACAAGAGAGACACAACAAGAAGAGAGAAGAAAAATGGGTAAAAGGATAAGATTAGAAAGAGAAAAAGACAGAGCAAGAAAAATCAGGTACTAGAGAAAGAGAATAAAAGAAAGACACAAACATAATAGAAAGAGAAAAATAGAGAATAGAATAAAATAGAAAAAAAGAATTTCACCAAATTGGAAATTTCAATTTCTACCAAATGGAATAAATTGAATTGCACAGATTAGATGATACACTGTTAATTACTTGCAACTAATTAGTCGGTAAATGGTTTAAATGATTTAATCAAATGAACCAACAATTAAAAGAGAACCAGAAAAATGGAGGTAAACAGACAGTAGACAAAGAAGAAGAAACAAAACAAAAAAAAAGGTAAACAAGAAAATAGAAAAGGTTTGTAATTGTTTTCTCTTTCTCCAGAATTAAAGTTAATTGTTGTTAATTTACCTTGACACTTGTTACCAATTAGTGTTTGTGTGGTTGAAGGAAAAACTGATTTGTACGAAAATTAACAACACAATAATAAACGAACAACATAATCAGACTAACTCCTTCTACTTTTTGATAATCACAATTAAAGATCAACCTGAAAATAAGCATAACCGAAAACTCGTTTTTTCAACTTTTAGTTTCGAATTTTTTTTTCCTCCTTGACCTTAGGTCACAATTGGAAAGGAAATAAATCACAATTAATTCTAATTGTGATTCCAACTCTTTCCTCCTTCTTTGTACAACTAAATTTACCTTGTATTCGGTTTATTATTATTATTACGATTAATTGGAAAATCAATTATTGTCAATAATTGATTTTTCTCTGTTTAAATTGATTGTTTATTTGGAAATCGAAATCAAATTTAAATCAATTAACTTTTCTGCTTCCAATTGATTTAAGTTACTGATCAATTATTCAATTGTTGTGATTTTCTATTTACGATTTTGGGTGACAATTTATCTTAATTGTCGTCGCTCTCGCGTTTATTATTATTATTAACAATTAATCTTGAGTAACCTTTGCTTTTTGATTGTTATCAATTGATTTACAAATTTTCCATTCCAATTCCAATTAAATTTAATTGTATTCAACTGATTATCTTAACGATTCTCATTGATTGTTGTGTCAAAAATTTATCAGCTGATCGTCTTTGGTGATAAATGATTAGTTAATTGTTGATGTTGTTGTTGTTGTTTAAAAGTTTCCACCGTTAATTGTTAACAAGATTTTCTGTTAACTGTTTTAATTTGATTGTTTTGGTCAATCCATTGATTTTTGTTTGATTGTTTACCGTTAATTTTATCGTTAAACTTGATGAAATCAATTTCATGATAAAATACTTGATTTAGTTAAATTATAAAGATGATGTAATCACCTACCAATTCAATATCCTTGAATTGGTTTAATGATTTGATTATTATTGGGATTAGATTGTTGAAATTTACAATCAGTTGTTGCCAAGATTATTGATTAACTTTTAATGAGTAAAGTTATTAAATTTCATCTCAATTGATGATTAAATTAACAGAGAGAAACTGAAAGTTCATCAATCTAGTGATTACTTGTTAATAGATGTTCAAACATTTTTATCATTAATTGTCAGATTAAAGTCCAAAAACCAGAATTGAGACAATTAAGTTTACGCAATAAGATTAACCAATTGATTTTTCCCTGATTGTGATCATTAATTAATCATCTCAATTAAAACACAAACTTTTGCCAATTAAACATTAAAATGGGTAATTAATGATCTATCTATTTGAACACTATTGATTAATCAATAATTACAACAACAAAAGGCAAAAACCAATTCACAATCAAGATTTAAAGTTGAAACAATTAAAATCATTCAAAGGTCTAAAGATTTTCGGGTCAAAATTTAAGATGTTTACATTGGTTCTTTGCTCCCTGAATCTGAATCATATGAAATTCAGAGCTCTTTTTTCAACAGAAATCAAAGTTTCTCTTAACAACTTGTTATTAATTAACAATTAACAACAATTAATGGTTAATTAAGGTTAATTTATTGGCGAAAAGGAAAAAGTTCTTAATAAAACCGATAGATGGCAACATGGAAGGAACGAATGTGTCGCCATCCAGTGAATTTATTTCCAACAAATTTCGAAAATTAAAAATCTTAGAAAATGAAACAATTGAATTGCTGATTAAATCAACCAGTTGATTAAATTTAGCAGCAATTAAATAGTTCACTTTAAAATAATCATAAGCTTCATGAGAAAAAAAAACTTTGTTAGCAAATTAGTTTTTCTTTGTTAATTATAACCAATTTAATTGTTCATTGAGCAGAAATAATTGTTTCGTTGATGATCAAAGTTAATTTGATTGTTAATAATAAATTACAATTTTTTTTCAACAATTTATTTAGATTGATGTTTTTTTTTGTTGGTTGTTGATTCAATTATATATTAACAACATTATTATTATTAATTATGATTATTTAGTTAACAAATTAGTAACAGTAATTGAGTTTATTAATTATCTAAACAAATTAGTTTTCAATTGTTTGTTGTTGATTAGTTTTTCATTTGATAATTAACCAATTAGTTTTAAATTTTATATATATTCAAATAATAGTAATATTAATTAGTTAATTGAAAAGATTTTTTAACTTTACATAATTAATTGATTTTAAAATTTGAATTATAATACAAATGGTTTGGTGATGAAAAAAAAATTGTTGATTTCAAATTGATATTAATGTTAAATTGTGTTGAGTGATAATTTAATTTAATTGATTACAATTGATTATCTATACGAATGTATTTTTCAATAGAGGATTGAGAAGGTGTCAAAGGTTATCTGATTCCTTTGATTTGCTTGATTTAAGGACCACCGCTGTTGATAGACCACTGGTTGGGGTGGTGGTTGGTGTTGTTGATTGGATTCTCAAGGTTGGGATTGTGGTGGTAGTTGTGGTTGATAAGGTTGATGTTGGTGTTGGTGTTGGTGTTGAGGGTGCTGGGGGAACTGGGGTCAAGGAGGAAGGGAATAAAGGTGAAACTGAAGGTGATATTGATGAAAATGTCGGAGTTGTTGTTGTTGTTGATGATGATGATTGGAGGTGATGTTGTTGTTGTTGTTGTTGTTGTTGGTCTCGCCGGTGGGAAACATGATGATAATGATGAGGATGGTGACATCGATAGGCTGGTGAGGGTGAATAGGAGGTTGTGGTTACTATTGTTGTCGGTATTGAGGTTACTTTTGATTCTGATGATAATGGAGGTGGTGGTGATGTTGATCCCATTGGAATTAAATTTTTCATCAATGAATCGGTTTCCTTGTGAATGACCGTTGATATGCTAAGGTCACAATCAGATTCATCCTTTTCAATTGATTCCCTACTAAGACGATGATAATTACCATTTCCCTCTTCAATACTACTACTAGAAAGATAACTGGTTCGAGTTGGAATTGATGATGATAATGATGAAGATGAAGCTGATGTTGATATTGTTGTTGTTGGCACCTTGAAACTCCCCTGACTTGATTGGTATAAATTGTTATCACTTGAATCTCTTGATATTTTACTTGCTATAATTGATGTCGTTGGCTTTTGTTGTTGAGGCTGTTGGGGTTGTGGTTGTGGTTGTGGATGGGACTGTATAAGATAAGGTTGATATTGTTGATAATTTGACTCTTGTCCAGGGATTGGAGATGTTTCCCTGATCGATTCAAATTGACCACTAGCTGAGGACATTGGACCATATTCTTGATCGGAAAGTGATGTAACTTCCGTTGCAAGAGTACAAGCCTCTGAGAGTAAATCTTGTTCCGTTGAATCGATGGAGGACATTTGAGTTGAAATGGAATCTCTATCGAAATTGGAATCTCTTCGTCCACATCCGCTTCCTAGAAGGTATGAAGTTGAAGATGCTGGAGATGAGTAAGCTAATGAAGATCCTTCCGGTGCAATGATAATTGAGGGAGTTGTTGATGAGGTTGAAGGATGAATAACACAGCCCAGGGAAGATTCAGATTTAACTGTTCGATTACGTGAACTGCAACCTTGATCTAATGCTGAGAATGATGAAGACGAAGCAACTGAGGAAACAGCTCTTGACCATTGGGAGTTTCCACCTCCCCAACCTGTTCCGTTTCCTCCACTTGATGGTCCAACAAAACCTAATCCACCAGTTTGACCTGATCGGTAAGTTGTGGCCGGAGAACAGGTATCAAGGGAATGACGAAGTGTGACCCGTTTCTTGACAAACCTTTGGGAAAGGTCAGAGTTCCCTCTGGTCATTGGACGGTCAAAATTCTTGGAAACTGGAGTGTTGGGTTCAGAGGATTGTTTATCAACCAGAATAGGCTTGGGTCGGGTTAGACAAGTGACCGGAGCACCGACATATGAGCATCCAACTCCAGGTCCACCTCCACCAATATAAGGTGAAAATGAGTATGGACCGGAAGAAGGGGAAGTGATTAAACTTGTAGGTGGACCAGGTGAGGTTGATATTAAATTGTTAACACTTGAAGGAGGTGCAACCGTAATCGAGGTGGGTGTTAAAATTGATGAAAGTGGAGGTGGAGGTGATGTTAAATCTTGAGCATAATTTGAGTATGGATATTGAGTATATTGTTGTTGTTGCTGCTGATGATGATGATAATGTGATTGTTGATGACCATTAGCACAATTAGAATTGATTGAACCCGATACTGGACCAGGTCGATTATTATGGTTAATTATTATTGTCGAAAGTGCTTGGAAATTGATCCGATCCTCCAGATACATTTCTAATAATTGGTCAACCTTATTTTCAACATCTTCAACCTAATTGGTGGAACGATTGGTAACAATTAAGAGAGAAAGAGAGAGAGAGAGAGAGAGAAATTCCCACAATTAGAGTATCAATTAAAACGTCAATATACAAAGTAAGGAAGAAACTTTTTCCCAATAATGTAAATTGTTATAATTAAAGAAATTTCCATTCAATATTGTTGACCCCTTAATCCATTTGGACAACAATCAATTTCAATTTCATTTGTTAAGTGTTTCCTTGATTATTTACTTTCATTTTATTGAAGAAGATGAAGAAAAAAGTTCTGAAACTTTCTCAGCATGAAGATGAATGAATTTTAATAAATGCTTCCGCCGGGAAAAAGTTAAATCTCCATGAAAGTATTAATATATGAATCGACTGCTGTGAAAGCTATTTTATCAAAACGGCTATTAAAGTTAATTGTTTATCAATAGTTTATAAGTTAATTGTTATCAAACTTTAAAGAGAAACAAGTAGAAAAACAATTCTAATAACAATCTTTTTATTATTCCAATCAAATTCAATCGATATTATTTTCTGGATTGTTATCAAATCAACTCCCATCGTCTCTCTCTCTCTCTCTCTCTCCATCCCTGTTGCTGAAACCACTTATTCAATAGTGTGTTGGTTAATCGAGTGGATTGAGGTTTGAATTCTTACCGTTCTTTCAACTTTAACTATTCTCGATGCTAAGCTCATTTTAGATTCGTAGGCGTCGATGGCTTTTGATCCAACTTTACCAAGAATAACGTCCAATCTGTGAAATAGTAAAAGTAATTAGAACTTTTGAATTTCGAATTTGTTTTTTGCCTTTATTTTCAGCTTTGTTTAATGGTTAGAACTTTTTCTTTCGCTTCGTTAGAAACTTTGTTGAAGATACAAGTCATTGGAAAGATTGATGATAACGATAAGATGAAGATGAAGATGTTGATTGCCTGTGGATGACATGAATTCATCTCAACTCAATTCAATCTAGAAAATTCTGAATTCTTTTTTACTCTCAATTTCCTTTTGTCAAACAGGTTAGTTGAGATTGTATCAGAGTTTAGATGATCATCATTCAAAGTAATTGGTCAACAATTGACCAACGATCAGTTGTCTTAACAATCAACATCATCTTCTCATCTTCAAATGGCCTGATAACCTTATTTTCTTGTATTTAAAGGCAAATATAAGAAAATTGGTTTAGAACTGTTTCTTCAGGATCGATTGAATCAGGGAGTTTCAGCTCATTGCTGATGATGATGAGTTTATCATCTTGAGCATCATGATAGTTTGATAACTGAATCAGTTAATATACTAAAAAGGACAAGAGGAAATCAAGTATAATGTCAATGACATAAGTAAATCAGGATAAGTGAGATAGAGAGAGAGAGAGAGAGAGAGAGAGAGAGAGAGAGAGAGAGAGAGACTTGAAATCATCATGAAAATTGAATTCATGTCAAGTTTTAACATTCATTTGCTTTTCCATAGGTTAACTTCAACTTGATCAATCTCAATTGCAATCAAATTAATATAAATCGCCATCATCATTATGAACCAGTAATAAATGATCATTATTATATTGTAATAGTTGGATATTTACAATTCTGATTCAATGAGCATCAACATCATCATGAAATAACAATGTTGCATGATGATGATAATAATAACTTTTATGATATAAAACTGTTAACATGAATGAAAATTTGACAACAGGAAGCATCAAGAAGTTTCAATTGAAATGACAGAAATAAATGATGATGATTATCACTATTTTCTTGATTGCTCTGAACTAATCAACTGACAATCAATTGTAATCCAAAAAAATTTGATAGGAAATAGGGAAAAGTTAACGATTACATTACCTTAATTTTCAATGTGACTTATTGTTATCTCTCATTATATGAATAGATTGACAGAAATACATGAACTTCTCTCTCTCTCTCTCTCTCTCTCTCTCTTTCTCTCTTTAGAATCTCAAAAAGTTCATGTTAACAATAACGATAAATTCTGATCACCATGTCAATCATGTTCGTTTACATAAAGAAGACTCATAATCTCACCTTGCTTGGATATTTTTTGTTCTCGCCAATAGATCAACATGACCTGCGGAATATTGTTCAATGACATCCTTTACATCGTAAGGTTTCAAGGCTTCTTTGAACTTTCTTCGAGCAACAAAATATTTGATCTGAAAAGCGATGGAAAAGTTTTTTTTATTAAAAAAAAGTTTCGAAGACCAAATTGGTCTTTTTCGAACTTACCTTTCGAAGTGATCTTATTGCGTTTTTATGTTGCTTCGTTAACACAGTTAGCTTTGGTTCTTCCGGTTCCTCATCTTATATATTCATAAATTAGACATCAGGTGAGAGGAAAAGTTAATTGTGACAAATGAAAAGAAAAGAAAATGACAATTAATTAGATCATCTGATCGAGTGATTGATTTAATTTGAATTAATTTTAAATAGGGAAAAAAATGTCATCCAAAAATTTAAGATCATTGTCATTGTATCGTTAATTGTTTCGTTAATTAACATGCTAATTTGATTTTCTTTGGTGCAAATCAATGTAAATGTTTGAAGCTCAAGCTTGTGATTAGTGAAAGTTAATTGTGACAATTAAACTTGCGCTTTGATTTGTGTATGTGTGTGTATCATTTGTGATCCCAAATAGATTTTGTGATTACTGTGCAATTAGTTAATTGTGAATTAAATTCATATATATATGTGAGTGTGTGTGAGTATAAAATTAGATGTGTAGCAATATAACAGTAAATTGTTACAATAATAACAATGTACATATTATCAAAGACTTTGATTGATCATCTTGATTGATTGATTATATTATGATTATAAAAATATACGAAACAAAAAATTAAGGTATGATATTAAATTGTTGTTCCCAATGTTAAATTGTTAGAAACTAGAGATGAAATTGATTGTTGAAAATCATTGTTATCTTTTTATTATTAATAAAATTGATTTCATTTTTTAGGCTTAACAATCAAAGTGCTACAATTTATTAATCATAGTTTTCAACTTCTTGATCAAGTTTTATATAATATAAGAAAAGAAAAGTTTATTAGAATCAAGATTATATTGAAAATCGTTAACAATTAAATTGTTAATTGTTTAGACACACAAACTCTAGGGTTTGTATGCTGGAAATGGGGTGAGGATTGTAAATTGTTTGGACTAAATTGTCAAACTGAATCTAAATCAAATTAAAAAAACGTTTCAAACAGTTATTCTCATTTTGAGGAATTTAGTTGTTAACAATTAAGGTTTAACAATTGGAAAGCAATTTCAAGTTAACAATCAACAGGGACCAGGGAAAAAAAGATAAATTAACAAATTAAAGTTAATGGTTTAGGTGAATTAAATTGTTAAATTGTGTTAAATTGCAAAGTGTTGAGAGATTTATTTACTTTTATTGTTAGTAAATTGTTTGAATGGATAACAAATGAACAAAAAAGTTAACTTAAATTGTTAGACAGAAAATTGAATTGAAAATTTTGCTTAAACAAATTTACACATTCACTTTGATTCTAATCAGTTAATCACAGTTAATTGTTGTCATTCACTAAGGTTGCAATTCATTTTTTTTGGATTAACAAATATGAGCAAGTTTGTGCAAGATTATCAAATCAACAATTAACAATTAAATCTAATTGTTGGTGTTAAATCAACACAGAACGAGATGTGTGAATTGTGAGAGAAAACAAAAACTTTTCTCGATCTTATTATGTTAAGAGTTGATAAGATCGATTAGAACTTTTCGAATTACTTTTTCATTAAGTTTTATTCTTTGAGTTTTCGAATTTTTTTTTGATACTTTACCCAATTTAATGCTCTGTTTTCGAGATCGTGAAAATAAGTTTGGTGCACAAAAGTAGCTTGGCCTCTCGTCGGGGGACAGTTCTGTTCTTGGATAAGGATAATACAGTAAATCACTAACTCGAAATCTTCTCGATTGGGATAAAATCAACAGGCTTAGAACTATTTTTTCGTAATGAATACATGAAACACAAGACAGAACGAAAAAGAGAAGTAAAAAAAAAAGTTATATCTACAAACGAAAACATGAATAGAAACACAATCGTTTCATTAGAACTAATTGGTTACGATAATTTTTATTTTTCAGTCTTTTGAACATTCAATTAAAATGTAATAATCGAATTTTTTTCAATTTCGATTTAGTTGTAACAGGGGAAAAGTTCATGCTGATCTAAGGCTCATGCTCGATTTAATCACATCTGATTAGAATCCAAATCAATGGTTAAGATTAAGTTGTTGGAGTAAATTGACTGATTGGAATCTTGAATTTCTACTGAAATTTTTTCGAGCTCAATTTATGAAAATTAAAGGGAAATTATTGAGAGAATTAGATTCATCATGTTTATCTCAATTTCTTTCAGGTAGATTATCATTTTGATTGAAACAATATGAGATTCCATCTCAATGATAACTAAGTTTCAGAATCAATTGTGATCTTAACTGTTTATCAGTCTCTCTCATCTGAGTTCAATTTCAAAGCATTTCAATTGGAAACTGAATTATGATGAAAAACTGATGTATATATAAATAAATATTATCTTTATCATTGGAAATGATTTTATTTTATTTCTCTTCTTCATCATTTAAAAGGAAAAGCTCAGTAAAAGTTTATTATTGATGAAAGTTTTCATGATGATGAAAAACAAAATTGAAACGATAAAGAACCAGGATGAGACAACAATCAGAATATATTGTCAACAATTGTAATCAGTTAATTACAGTTGAGTTGATATTGAAAGGAGTAGATAAATGGGAGGATATTAACTCGAAAATTAAATCTTGGCATAAAGAAAGAAAAAAAAAGTTGATTGATAGAAAGTTAGAAAAGTTTTGAAATACAATTTTCATGGTTCTCAGAATTCAGACTAACATTTTTGACCAGAACTTTTTTTCTCGTAAAAAAGTATCAAATATAATCTCATAAATCACTCATATCATCATCCTGTCTCTCTCTCTCTCTCTCTCTCTCTCTCTCTCTCTCATCTTGATAATCCAACTAATCATCTGATACTCAGAACGATTTACGCTCTGCTAACATTTTCATGGTGAAAAAGTTCAAAGGTTTAAGTTACATGATATCTTTCGAAAGGGAAAATAGAGAGAGAAAAAGTTCTAAACTGAATAGAACTCGAGTCGAACATTAAAACAACATAAATTAGGTAAATTTGGTGTACAAAGGCGATGGATACTAAACACCAACCATGAAGACAAAATGTTACATGAGAATGATAAAAAACAAGGTTAAAGACAAACAACATGAAATGTATCATGAACATTATTATCATCATCATGAACTTTTATCATGTTAGTTGTTTACATCAAATACATTATACCAAAAATGAAGTAACCATTTCATGTGTGTATTAATAAATGGTGGTGAGTGTTCATGTTTCACTTGGAGGATCGAGGTCAGTAAATCAGTTGGAGTGAGAGAGAGAGAGAGAGAGGAGAGAAAAAAAAGTTCTATTCTCTTGTTCTAATAAAATGTTCGACATCATCATCCATCTATTACCTCTCACATTAGTTAATGAATATTGAGCTCTATCAGTAGAGATTAAGTAAATAAAAGTTGATCAAATGCTTCAGCAAAATGGGAAAAAAGTTCTGACCTCAGATTCTCAATCTCTTCTTACCTTTAATCAGATTATAATCTAGTTAAATTGTTGAATTAATTAATCTTATTTAACATAAATGATTAGAAAGAATGAAAAAAAAACGAAACCAAAACTACAACTACTAATTAAATATTAGCATCAATATCTAAAACAATTGACTAATTAATGAAGCAGAAAACTAAATCAAATGTAATAGAAGATAAATTTAAAAAAAAGTGAGCAAAGAAAACAATGAAAATAATCAATTAATTACTAAAATTTGGTGAATTGTGAGTGATTAAAAGTGATTTGTAAAAAGTGATTAAGTTGATTGCTAAGTTATTGGAAAAAGTTGATTGAACAATTTTCAATAATAGTGAAGTTTTCTCAGTGCTAATGATGTAAGTTGAGTGAATTGTGATTGTTTGATCACCGGCTAAGACATGTAATTGTGATAATCAATTAAATTGTGTGTAAATCAATTAGATATTATCATTTAGTAATTAGTAGATTATTAAACTCCCCCAAACCTGAGGCATCGTAGAGATGAGGTTGAAAGGTGGGTGAAAGAGCAAGTAAAGGTGGGTGATTGCAATCTCGTTGCAGCATATGACATAATACCAACGGAACTGACCCATCGTCCACGTCTGAAAGATAATCTCATGATGGATTAACAGGTTAGAAAAGTTCATTATTATCATTGTTATTAAATTTACAATTCTAAACTCTAACCAAATGAGAACCATGCAAACTGTTAGCAACTGTACAGCAAAAAAAACAAAGTTTCATGACGATTTGATGAGTTTCCTTTGTCTCAGAACTTTACTATTAATATTTGCACAATTACATCTTGATTGCAATAAGAAGATGATTATGATTGTTGAGTTATTTTCCAGTCAATTTAATTCATTTATTCAGACAAGTTTTCATGCTATCAGACGCAGATAATAAGGTTGACCAGTGTCCGATTATTTTTTAGGACAATCTAGTAAAAAGTTGCGAATCTAAGAATTGTATTAATCTAATCCAAATGAATACTTGAGATTAAGATTGATGGATTGTTCATTTGGATTATCTAATTTTAAAGTAACATTTTCTTCAACCTGTCTATATGAATAAATTAATAATATCTTTTCTCAGGACTCACGATTCATGATGATGAATTTGAATCAGAATCTGAAGCTTTTATAATGAACGAAGTTGAAATGTCAAGAGTATTTCAATGATTGTTACAACTTTTTCATTCTTCAATCGTATAATAATAATTTCATTTTCATCTCTTATAATAATTTATGATATTCAATTTTTTTGTCTCCTTCTTTTTATCGATTTTCCCATGAATCAGGAAATTCTGATGAACACAATCTTCTATTTCATGCAAAATCAATTGTATTTCAATAAATTCGAGTCTAAAAGAAGAGGAAGAAAAAAAAAGTTGTAATATTCTTGTGGCTGTTTGGATTTTCCTTGATTCTGATTGAAACTAATTAACCTCTACTCAGTGTTTCCAATCAACAATTATTCAAGTACCATGGTTGAAATACATGAGTAAAAGGTTTCAACTCGATTGTTAATCAACATGAAACTTTATCTCAACCTTTTCTCCCCTGTAACCTTGTGCTTAGTATCATTTTCATCATCATGTAATCATGTTGTGATTCAATTAAGGCTGATCAAATTAACCAGCTATCATCATTTAATCAACTTCAACTCATTAATTAACAATTAATCAGAGTTTTCTAAACTATTATTATATATATATATATATTGTTGATTAAATTGTTGCTCAGTCAAATGAATTCAATCAATTTATTGTTCACCATGAGTTGAATTGGATAAAGAAAAAAAAAATTTTTTTTCCTTTACTCAACTTGAACCATAATAAGATGATTGATATAATCAATTAATTATCATGGGAAAAAACTCAGAAAATGCTTAGTAATTAATATTAACAATTAGTATCAAGCTAAATAAGTTGATGAAAGGTTTTCACATGAAAGTTTCAATTCAATAATAGTGAAACCTTGTTGATTGTCAATCAAAATTCATGCTGTAAAATAATGATAAGATTTTGATATTGTTCATTTAACAGAAACAAGATGAAAACTTATCAAATAGCCTGAGGCGATAAAGATCATCATGAAATTGAATTTCCATCGATACAATTTTTCAAACTCGAAAAACAGAAAAATATTAAAATCCATCTTCCTTTCAATAGATTTTGACACATCTATTTGTATATGTAACAGCAATCGGTTTACATTAAGACAATTGTTCATCATCGTAATTGTAGTTAAAACTTATACACACAATTAACTTTTAATCATTTGTCAAAGGTAATTAAATATTAGTTGGAACAATTTAACCTAAATTGTAACAATTTGATATCGATTATAACACTTACCTAGGGAATCAAGGTTCCTCAAAAACGAGTTTCTAGACGAAGGTCCTAATATAATAATAAGTATAACAATAAAATCAATCACTTAATCATAATTAGAGGACCAGAAAGAGATTAAACTAATTAGGTGGAAAATTAGATTGTTACAATTACGATTACAATTAATTTAATAGCCACTAAAACTTTTTTACCAAAGGATTGAAAAATTAGGTGTAAACATATTGGAAAAAATGTTTTTTTTTCTCGATATCAAGTTAATACAATTTAACTGAATATCGGTTGTTCAGTTTATTTACAGAATCTGCTGAATAGATTTTGGTGAATTATTTTCCACCACCTACCATGAACTCTCACCACTATCTACCCACCGACTGTTTTATCAATTACTCCTCCATCACGTTATCATGAATTCAGTTGATATTATATGTACCATGTGAGTTTGAATTTTCTGTCTGAATTTTTGGTAACAATCAGAATCATACAAAGTCTATTCGTAATCGAATATGAATTTTCTCTCTCTCTCTCTTTTTGTAATTCGAGTATTCGAACAAAAAAGTTCTAGACACTTTTAGAAATACTTTTATTCTCTACACCTGAGATTAGATTTTTTTTTCTTTTCAGAAAATTCTGGAGAGAGAAAGAGAGATTGAGATACAGAAAATTCATTTCAACTGAGTCATGAACATGATAGAATTTTTTTATTATTCGAGGTGGATTTTTGTTCAATATTCTCCACCCCATCTCTCTCATCTTACACCCATTTCTCTCCTCTTTCATTATATACATTGTATCTCATTTCATGATGAGATGAAGATTATTTTTCTCTCAATTCCTAACTATGAATAATCAGATTTCATTCCTAAAATTCAGATTAATAATAATTTCATTTCTATCACAAGTTACATCCAATTATCGTGTTTATGAATAAATTTCATCAACCAACTGGATTAATTAATTAGTAACTTGCAAGTCAGTTAATCTAATTGCTAATTGGTAAATATCTGAGAGAATGAGAGAGAAACAAATTCACTCTAAATCATAAAGTTCTGAGACTAAATTTCAATATTTGCTCAGAATATTTTCCTCTCAATCATGAAAACTTCCATTCATATCCTTTGATTAAGAGATAAATATCTAAATCCAACTGTTAATAAATAGATTAACCTAAATCAATGTCCATTAAGTTATATTTATCGTTGATAAATAAGTTATATCTCAATGAATAAGATGACCAATATAAACTAGACATGATTAAACTCACACCCAAAAGTAAACATGATTAACTTGATTATTGATGATTGTACAGTTAGACTGTGATTAAGAAAACTATTGAGCAATATAAAGCATTTAAAAAACAACAACAATCTGATGATCACAATTTAGTCCTCGTAATTATAAACTAGTTCAGATAATCAACTTACAATTACAAACTATACAAACAGATTAACACCATTGATTAATCATTAAGGGTTTTGTTTGTTATCATAATCAATTTGTCAATTTTTTTTTGTCACAATCAATTGAAATTGTATTGAAAATCATAATCAAGGTGATTGTTTTCCTATCAATCAGATAAACTAATCTGATTGTTTTAATCCATTTACAAGAGGATTAGGGTTTATATAGATAATTGAACTTGGAATTGTTGTTATCATCGATGATGATATTTTCTTATGAGAGAGGAAAACAGGTAAATAAATTGAATCGAATTGAGAAAATCTTTGTACACTTGGAATGAACTTTTTTTCGTCACATTTCTTTGGGAATGGTTTTCTTACCTTCAGAGTTTCGCTTCGAAGTGTCCGAAACCTCTTTGGTCACACTGTCTTCACTAACACTGGCCGGTATTCTTGGTCCATCTGAGGTATTATTATTATTAGAATTAGAAGTATTTGAATTATTATTATTGTTCCCATCGTTACGTTGATTGGCAGTATCAGATAATGAAGTATAACGATTACGAGTGACCGGAGAGTGGACATGGGAAGGTGTGGTTGTGGGTTTGTGACGGCGTTTTGTTGAGAAACGGCTGACAAATGAAGTGTTGTGTTTAAATCTATGAGAAAATGAAAGTAGGATATATAAATACAAGATCGTATATTAGAAACAATGAGAGATTAAGAGAGGTGCCAATCTGGATAGGCTCTAGAATTAGGTTTAATTAGGCTTACAGATTAGCTAATAGATAGTAATTAGCATCATATGAAAATAAGAGTAAGGGAAAAGTTTTAACATCGATGTTGTCGGGAGTTCGAGAATCATTTGATACATGCAAATTTATTGTTATTGGTGTTTTTAGTGGACTAAGAGAGTGTTAGTATTACTTACAAACTGCCACTCGAAGGAGGCAAATCCAACTTTTCTTTACGTCGTAACGTAAATGAGCCTGAAGTGTATCTGCTGGATCGAAGTGGAAATTAGATCGTTGCGAGTGATTGTGTTTTTTAACGAGTTCACGAGTGCATTTGGGTTGTGTATATGTGCGTTAGTATTTAGTATGCATGATGATGTGTGCAGATGTGAATTTATATTATTTACATGTAACATGTGTGAGAAAGGAAAATGTTAAAAACGGAAACGGAAATGATGAGGATAAATTAGAAGTTATTGATTAGTAAAATTACAATTAGTACATTAGTTTTTTTAATAGAGTTAAAAGTGAGAGAGATAAAGATTTGTCTTGATCTGTTTTTGCTTCTTATTATTATGTAACTGAATTTAAATCTATTAAATTGAGTTTAGGCCTTTTTTTTTATAGTATCGAGTGGACAATAATTACTCACGCTGGAGGACTTGGAAGTGGTACTTGGTGGATCTTCCAAGTGGCCACTGACATTGAATTTTCATCGGCAGCGTAACATCGCCAAAGGCATTGGATTAAAGTCGCTGCTGGTCCTCGGCGTCTGATCATATGTTTTTGTCTCTGTTGTTGTTGAACTTTCAAAGCGAAACCAGAACCAAGGATACCCTGTAAATACACAAATTGAGACAATCTCATCATTGATAATCAATTCAATTCTAACCTGATTGTAAATATAATTGAATTTTAACTCTCATTCAATTAGAATTGTGAAAAAAAATGTAATCCACTTTTCCAATTTTCTCATTGAAATAATTTCCAACAATCTTCACACTCACACATAATACATTCATCATGGTGATAAACCAAAATAACTCAATTAACTTGATGACCTTAATTAATCAATTCACTTTGATAGAAAAAAAAAGTTCAACCAAATTCAATCTATTCATGTGCTATAAATTGTATATTTTTAGCAACAATCAAATTGACCTAATAAAAAACAAATCACACTTGGTCAAGGATAAATTGCTCAGCATATTCAATACGATGAACCTAAATAAAAAACTTTCTGAACAGTTATCATGTCATTTCATGGTGATCATTATAATATCAAGTGACATTTAAAGCAAAATGTCAACTTATTCAACAGTAATAAACTAACATACATCAGGATTGTAAACAGTTATTAATTAACAGATATACTTTGTATACTAATTAATTACATAATATTACATGTATATGAGTATCTTTTTAGATGTTTGATAAATCTATATGGAAATTATCATGGGTAAAGAAAATATTATTCCATGGAAAATGTTGATAATATAATTACCGCAGGTAAGGCAAAAAATGAGATCCCAAGAAGTGCACAAAAAGACGCGATTAGTTTACCAGGCCATGTTTTAGGTACAATATCACCATAACCTACTGTACAAAGTGTTATCTAACAAAGGGAGAGAGAGAGAAAAAGAAATGACCAATGGTCAATTGTAGAGAGATGAATAATAATTATAATAGCTCGGTGAGTGGATAAACTTACCACTCCCCACCAAAGGGCATCGGCAAAATTATTAAATGTCTCAGGATTTGAATCTTTCTCAACTAAATATACAAGGAATGAGGAAAATATGAGACCCAAGAATCCAATGTAAACGGTTGTGATTAGTTCCTGGATGGTGGGATGATAATAATAAACAGGAAAGTGGATTGAATGAAATGTTATTCAGTTAATCAGAGATTGAGCCATGGAATCAATTTAAACATGAATCAAGTTAATCATGTAAATCTATGAGCTGTTTTTTTTATAGATTATCGATTGAAAATGAATTTATTGATTACTTATTTTCATCATCATTATCATCATGCAATCAACTTCATCCCAACACTTATACACCTTGATAACTTTATATATAAAAATAAACTGACCTCATTGATTATTTTTCATAAATTGGTATTTTTTTCTCGGGTTAATTTCATGATAATGATTTGAATCATGTAATAGGAAATAAAATGAGCTCATGATGATAATGTTTATAAGTGACAATTCAACAAAAAGTTCTGATCATATTGTTAAGTGAATTTGTTATTATTTTAATATTTTTCAATTCTTTTTGTTTTTGCTCTTCATATATGAAAGAAAATTATTTTTTTAATATCAATTTCTTACCTGTCGATGTGCATAGACAACTGAACCTAATAACTTCCAGGTTCCACCTCTTCTGTCCATTCGAACCATTCGGAGTATTTGGAAGAATCGAAGGCCACGAAGAGCCGATGTAGCGAAAACTTGACCACCAGTTCCAACGATAAAGACCACAATCGATGCGATAATAACAACAATATCTGTTGAAATTCAGAGCATTGAATAAGGAAATAGTTCATTGAATAATAAATAATCATGATAACTTTTACATGGACACAAAGTTTGCAGTTTGCAAACTGATTATAAACAAATGTAAATAAACAAATGACAATGAAAAAATTGTATTGGACAAAATTCTGACCAATGGTCATCCAATTAGCAATGGCTTAACATCAAGAGGAGTTGAATACAAAAATAGCAATTCAAAAGTTAATTGTCCATGAAAAATGGTCATTTTGTTTTGTGTTTGTACTTGAAAAGTGTAACTTCATGTTGACCAGAATTTATATAAATCATGATTATCAGAATCCGAATCACTGATTGAATTATTCATTCATTTCTCTGTCAATCTTTAAACTTTCTCTCTCTCTCTTTTGCTGGTCAAGCTTTTTGGCTTTTCCTTGTTATTTTTTCTCTTTAGACTGGTCAGTTATCGATTAGAGCGATAATGATTCTAACGAAGTTCATGATTTTTATGAATTTTCTGTTTAACCTTTTGTCGGATTAGTGGCGAAAAAGAATTTTTTCAACCAGAATTTTAAGTCACAATTAAGTCGCGATGAGAATCTAAGACAGTTCTAAGAGAAATTTTCCCAAAAACTAAATAGAATCTTTTCTTTTGCCATGGTTCATATTCGCACATGATTGACTTTTAATTCTATATCTGGTAAATTTAATTCGTTTCCAATTCGAGAAAACCTCAAGTTGTTTCATGTAATTTGAGATTCGGTAGATTTTTTTTCTTCTCTCTATCCTTTTTGTTAGATTTTTATTATTACTAATATCATGTAAGTCTAACCTTTTTTTATGAACTCAAAACTCAAGAAACTGTAGATTATCATGATACAAATAAAAGTTTTCGATTCCATGTTCGTGGTAATTTGATTCGAAGGTGAGATGTTGGAAAATATTTTCTCGTGTTTAAATTAACTGAATAAATTTTCTAGAAAATTAATTCTCATCAGCAAGATTTCATTCTCATGATTTCATCATAATTATCACGCAGAGAGAGAGAGAGTCGAAATTGAATAGCCCTGAACCTGTGAATCTTGAGAATTGAAATGATACAATGGAAACAGAATCTCAACCATTTACACTTGAATGTATTGAGTAAATAACAGAAGCAGAGATAATGGTTATCATGAAAAGGAGAAAAATTTTCACCCTACAATGAATATCTATGGAGCTACATGAAGTAAGAAATAATAAACAACTGAATATGAGAAGAGATATTCAGAATCAGAATCGTTCAAAGTTCTGAACAATTGGGAAAGAGAGAGAGAGAGAGCAGAAAAAACAAAATAATAGAATCAAAATATATTCCTTCATTTATATAAATCTTATCAACTTCTTGATAATGATCATCATCATCACCATGATAAAGATAATCATTGTTATTATCATTGTCAGCATGATAATAATACGAAGCCAAGAAAAGTGTTTCTCAAAATGAGATTCATACATAAATTGTATTCATCGTCATACACACTGAATACATACAAAGCAACAGGCTATTCAGTGTAATATAATCATGGTTATCATGAGAATGATAATAATAATAATCATCATCATAATATTATCATGAAACATTATCGCAAGAATTTGAATCATCATCTCAACTCAAATTGGTAAATTATAAAATCCAATCAAAAGACTAACACATAAAAACTAAAAGACAATTGTTGACACAATCAAATTAGATTCTCTTTAAAGATTTTTAATTGTCACTCTTTAATTGTTAATCACTTACCGATTACGCAAAATGGGCTTCGTAAAAAACGCATTCGTCCAACCCAACCCTGGTATCGTGATCGACACCCAGCTGACCAAAGTCGTAAAAAAAATTCAACAGTAAACCAAACAATCATTAATAATTCCTAAGATATTGATTAATAGTAAATATGAAAACAAAACAAAAGTTTAATTAGCGTTAATTGTTTGAGTGTTTAAGTCCTTTAATTGTTGATAAAAATGTTGATTAACTTACCATTTTTAATAGTATTGCTGAAGCAGCTTCTTCGTACTCTTTAATTGTTGAAAAAACACTCAAAATAAGGCAGGTAAATACCATACAAAACCTGTAATGATTAAAGTAAATTGTTATTTAAATTGTTAATCAAACATTAAGATAATATTCATCTTTGTGTCTCTCTCACCGTTAATTGTTTAAATCAATTATGCAACAATATTACAAGTCTATTAGGATTAAGGGTTACTATTAACAATTAAGGTAAATTTTAGTAACTGAATTAACTTTGGCAATCAGTTGAAAGTCAATTGATTCAAAAAAAAACTAAATTTACCTTTTGATTCAATTAAATTAACCTTCAAATGATACCAATCAATTAATCATATTGAATCAGGTAATCTTGTTTAGCTAATCCATATACTGGATTATATGACTTAAATTGTTAGATTACTAACATAGTTAATCAAATCTTTTACTGTATCATCACAATTAAGCATAACTAATATGATTTAACTAAAACCTTTATTAGTTATATAATTGATTAATTGAATTAATTTAGTTTCATTATCTTTGTTTTTATTGATAAATTGTAACAGAAAAGTTTTTTTCAAATGATTGAAATTACGATTTAATTTAATTAAATGAAATACGTTGAATTAACATGAGGCTGAAAAGGAAATTAAGTCTAATTGTGACTCTTTGATTCCTTAATTGTTTACTTTGGAACTCATTAAATTAATTCACTTAGAATGAATCAAATCATGTTAATAATAGAAAGAGAGAGAGGAGAAATTAAATTTTCATGGAAAAGAATAAAAAAAAGTTCTGATTCTTGTTGATCCATTTCAGAGAATTGAAACAAAAAAATCTATCCTGTTACAATCTTTTAATCATGATCATCATGAAATCTACTGAAGATATAATTTACTTTTTGTTTTCATGTATTACAATGAATTTCACCTTAGCATGGTTCATGTGAATCTTTTTTCACCATGAAAATTTATTTACATCATGAATCCATAGGAATATTAATGTAACAATAAGACAATTGTTTCCATCATTATTAACATCATTAGTTTTATATTATTATTGTTGTTGATCAGATGAACTGTAAGAGGAAAAATAAAGTTCTGAACTTCATGAAATTCATGCAAATGAGAGATAATAAGTAAGTATCATGAGTATCTCTAAGTAGATCTCATGGTTTTTGTATACAGAATCTTAAATTCTGTCATAATTGATTTCAATTGAACTCGTTTTTGATATTTTCGAGTCAATTCTTATAGTATCTGAAAAAGTTCAATGACTAATTGTAAATCCTTTCGAGATTGAAATTGATTATTACAATCAGCCAAAAGAATCAATCAACCAGAACTTTGCTTGGTGTTCAGGAAAAAATAGTTATCAATCAACTGCTCATCTTTTTTTATCGCTAACAAAACCAACGCTTAGGATCAATATGAATATAGTCAAACTGACCAATGGTCAAGTACATAAATTATGTATAAATGACCATTTATCTGGAAGATCAATCTGATTCATTTACATGGTACTTTAATCAACTGCTTTGTCTAATTTAGTTTGTAATCTCATTTTCATTTCTGGACTAATTGTTCACTAATCACAATTGATAGGAAATAAATTGTAATTATCAGTTAATTGATTATCTAAGTCCCTGGGTCTTTATTATGAACAGGAAAGTAATTAAGCAAAAAAAAACTTTACAATTTGCTGAGTTAATTAACTGTTGTTGTTGTTGAATATAAAACTAATTGTGATTAGTCAGCTTCTCCATGCAATCACAATTAACGTATCAAAAAAGTTCACACCAACTAATCAAGTCACTTTTAAGTGTAAACAATTAAACATTGATATCAAAGTGTAACAATTAAAAATCAACTGATAACAAGTTAATCTCAATTAGAACTGTAATTTTATAATTTAATAGTTTGAGCCCTAAAATGATACAATCAATGACCATTCATAAACCATTAATGGTCAACAAGAGGCTCAATGTAAATCGATATACTGACCAATAGATGACCAGAAGAAAATTTAAATTTCAACAATTTACAACAAAGTATTGACCATAATTCAAGTTGAATGTAAATTTGTGAAGTAATAATTGACCTGAGCTCCGATAAAATTATACATAATAGTTTTCCCAACTGACCACTGGTCAAGAGGTTAATACTTGCTCTTTCAAAGTTAAAAGACATAAAAAGTTATAAGAAAAAAAAAACCAACCAAAATTAAATTTGGTTGACATTAAATTCAAATGAGATTAGTTGACATGGATCAATGTCAATAACAAATAATCCTGGTCAACTGTTGGTCAGTTTATCGATAAAATAATAATATCAAATGATTACAAATAACAGTTTTCCAATTAATCACTTGATCATAATCATTAATCAATCTAAACAATGATCACTTATGGTCAATGTAACTAAGGATTAGGATAAAGATTATTTCAATCATGATCATTAAAAGTTTCTCAATGAAATAATCAATTGTATTAATGCAACGAAACAATTGATTGTAACAATTAGTCTGTTTATTTTGTCCGATTCATTGAATATTAAGGTTAATTTTGTTTCAACAAATGACGATTGAAAATCAATAAGTAAATAAAAAGATCACAACAATCAACAATAATCAGTTAATTATCTGAACAAGATTATTATTACATTATTAAATGTTAATTGTAATTGCAAATCAAGTTGACGAATAGCAAAAAAAAAATTAACTAAATTTTTTGCCGAAAGAAACAAATTTCAAATTGAATTTGATTTTTTTTTCGCTCATAACTTGTTGATATAATTTTTGCTATTAGAATATTATGATTCATGTTCATGAGATTTTCATGAGAAATTCTGGAAACTTGAATAAATCAGTAATTCAATTGGGAATCGAGATGATCAACATACATGATAATCAACCAGTAGCAACAATTACGATTAGTTTTCCTTCAGAAAATAACAGAGTAAATATTGTTCATTGTAAATTGTAATCTAATCGAAGATTGAATCAGCCTTCCAATTGGGAATTAAGTTAATTGTTACTATCAACAGTAAATTAATGTAAACAAATTAATCTCATCTAAATTTTGATTGTTTCTTTCGTTGACTAGTTAATGAGAGCAAAAATAGTTACTCTTTTTTTTTCATAAACTAAACTTTTCATCTTTCGAGTTCTGAACGATATGAAAAAGGTATTAACATAATTCCTATGAAGTTCATGATATAATTATCAGATTATTTACTCACAGATAAAGATTAGATAGAGATTAAAATTTGTCTCTGAAAAAATGTTGATTCAGTTGATTCAAATTGTTTCTGCTATCTGATTATTCATTCATTTAACAGAGTTAAATCTAATAATTGTTGAGAATCATATTATTTACATGATAATTGAATGTTGATTTTCATCATAATCATTATCATCATCATCGTCATCTTCATGATAAAAAAAAATGAATGTATGATTATATAAGTTTTATATAATCAAATTGGATAAACAAAATTCATCAGTGAGTGAAAGATTATGATTATAATCAATCATGATGATTAACTTTGATGGTAAGTAATTTGAATGTAAGATAATATTGATTCAGTTGTAATGAAAATGTTTCTCAGAGACAGGGAGTGTAAATATCCAGGGAGGATATTAATCATTCTGGGTGGAAATGTCAATCTAACTGAATTAGAAGGACAGATAATAACAGGAATATATTTAAATCACCATTAGAACAGTTCATGAAAACTAAGAGTATATATTCATCATACTATTCTTGTATTAGAACTTTTAAAATGGGAGGATTATTGTTGAGTTGAATCTCGAAACTTACACAATCATATGATATGAGATCGCTCGTTTGCCTCTTGGACGTTCGAGAAAATTATGGCAAAGAAATTGATATTTACGAATAATTTGATCACGAGTTCGATTACGAGTAACATTAACGCAAAGTGGGCGACCTAATATACTACAACGAGGTTGATTGTGTCGACCATTGGTTGACGAGTTGTTGAGGTTAACTGCTGGTGTATTTTCATCGGGTGGGTCATTGCCCAAGGGGATATTCGGACTGGTTGATGATACTGAAAGTAAAGCTGAAGATTCAACAACACTGGAAACAATTAACGGGGATAATGATGAATTTGTCCGTTTATTGTGATGAAGTGTTGACATTTTAGTAACCGATGTGGTCAGTATTGTTGTAGTTTCGGTTGTTGTTGTAGCTGCTATTGCTGATTCATCGTCATCATTATCATCATCTTCGATATCATTTACAATTGTTACTCCTTCACGTTTTAAAAGGATCTCACTATTGATCAGATTAACGGTTGGTGAGGTCACTCTTAGTATACTTTGTAAGTGGGCTTATTGTTGGTCAAAGGGTTGATATGAGGTGTAACATAATCACAGCCACGATCTAACGGAAATAAGTATCTTTTATCTTCATCTTCATCCGGTTCATCATCATCATCATCATCTTCTTCTTCTTCGTTATCTTCTTCATCGCCATCATCAACCTCATCTCCATCAATATCAATTTCATCATCATCATCTTCAAGTTCACGACTATCATTAACCTTATCAACAAACTGACCATCACCTCGTTCAAGATCACTGACCATTTGATTACGACCAGGCTTTTGAGTCTTCTCCTCCACCGAGTATAAATTATATCTAGATGAAGATGAGATATAATTTCCCCTTGAATCGTGAACTAGATGACCCAAGTTGTGGTATTGAACTAACTGAATTTGACCCGGAAATTTGTGAATAAGATGATGATGATGGTGAAGGTATCGATAATAACGGTAAACGGTTACCTTTGAATTTTGTATTTCGACGCCAACAATTTTCATCGATTGGATAATTTCCGCCGGTTCGTTGTAATTTATGATGATTTCGCTGTTGTGATTGTTGCTCAACATGATATCGAAATGATGAGGCTTCATGATAAGCAGAACTTTCTTCCGAAGTGTTTTTCACGATATTATCTGTATCTCGATTGACTAATTGATTGTCTTCTTGGTGTTCTTGTGGTTGATGATGATGATGATGGGCTGTGATTGATGGATCATAAGGTCTACCACTGGTCAAGGTAGTGAACAAATTGTTGGCCATAAACCGTTGTAACGTACCGATGTACACCGATAATGGAAACGGTCAGTTAATTTAGTGACCATTAGAAAGTAATAAAAATAAACTAAAACGTAACAACAAGTTTCAAGATCTTAATTAACCTTCAATCAAGTGTAATGAGTTTCGATTGACCATTAAATTAGAAACAAGGTTACAATTAATTAACTTCACAATTGACAATTTCCTTTTGATGATCATTTGTTTGTTTTCACTGAAAGAAAATGCGAGAAAAAAAAACAAAACCAAACCAAAGACAAATACGGGAAACGGAAATGATGCCAAATCCAAACACTAAGATTGGAAAAGTTTTTCCTCTATCAACTGATTGTATTAATTATATCACATTGTTGATCACTTGATTTGAAAATGATTTTCTAACAAGATGCAGATCAAATTGTTGATAAAATTATCTTAATTGTGATAATAATAAAAAAATTAACCATTGGCACAATTGTGATTAGAATCAAGTAGAAGTCATCATGTTTATCATCATAGTTTTTGATGATAAAAAAGTATAAGAGACACAGGAGACAAAGATGATTACATTGATGAAGAAAGAGATTTTTTGATTATGAGGAAGAGGAAGCGGAAGATGCAAAGAGGAAAAAGAAAAAAAGATGATGGAGAGAGAGAGAGAGAGTAAATATCGATAGTAAATATTAAGTGATGATCATCATCTCTCTGAGTAGAAATGAATTTGTTGTTGTCTTTACTTTTTTTTCTCGATTCTTTGGTCTCCCTGATAATCTTTGGAACGATAAAATTAGAGACAGAGAATAAGAAAGAGAAGGAGAAGAGAGAGAGAGAATAGATAAGAGTGAGACTGAATACTCACTCAAATGGTTCTTGCGTAGAGAAGAAAAGAAGAAAAAAAAGTTCCAAATTCGACAGAAATTATTCTTTCACCTTCTCATTTTTCTTTCTTCTTTTATTCTGAGACTTATAGGAGGTCAATATGCAGATTCGTTGAAATGTTCATGGTAATGTTAAGAACAGTTGAAGAATCATGAAGAGTCAGAAGAAAACAATATTCATGATGACAGAACTTTTTTTCTCACTCTCTTCCCCCAACTTATTTTCCATGAGTTAAAACTTTTCTGAATTTCAAAGATTCCCATGCAAATGAATATAAAGAGCTATAAAATGATTCATCTAATTATTTTCAGTGGAAAAGTTCAGAACTTTTCTAGTTTCTGTTTCAAAACTTTCATCAATAACTGAAGCAACATGATGAATATTTTGAAATTGAGAATAAAAAATGAACTTTTATCGGTTAATATTCTGATAACAAGGAAAACATGAATAATAATAATGATAATAATAGAGTAACTTAATCATTTGAAATGATTATTATATTGACTTTGATTCTTAATATATTATCATCATCAAGAAATTCATGGTAACATTTCATGGAAAAACAAAAGAGGAAACTTTTTTTTGTTCATTCCATTGATTCAATTGTAAAACAAACAAATTGAATCATGACCACACCCTGAATAGGTATGTTCTCATCATTATCATCATGACGATGATGAACATTAATGTAATAATAATACTTATCATGATTTGTGAACTTAAACTCATGATCATGACAAAATGAGATAAAAAAAGTCAACTGAAAGTATTATACATATGAAACTCTGAAATTCATGATAATAGTAATCAGATTATCAGGGAGATGAATTATTTTACTTTTTTTGATTCACTCAGAATTTAATGGTTACCATATTTATCATTATGATGATAAGATGATGATTATTATGATCTATTGATAGACTTTAAGGTGAAACCAACAATTAATTAAACTAATGGATTGTTAGTTGAACAAGTTTATGGGAATGACCATTGGTCAAGAAGTTGGACAATTTTCAATTATGTTTATTGTCACATTTAGTATATGGATGAATATGCAAATCAATCAAATCGTTTGGATAATCAATCAATTCTGTCTTAAACATTTGCACGTTGATTTAAAACGTTGCTCTCATTTTGAAAGAGTAAAACTGACCAATTGAATCTTATGCAGATAATATTAACTGACCAGTTGAAGGTCAATTAGTTTAAATATACTGACAAATCACATGGAGAAATCATGAAAAACTGATTACAATTAGTCAACCATTGATGGAAGATTTAATCTTTTCATCCTTAATTGTCCAGTTTAACTCTGAAATGATTTAAGTTAAACACGAAACATTTTTATAATCATTGATTTTTTGATTAGTTAATTGTTTAATCTGGTAAATATACCAGCAATCAAGTCCATTTTTCATCAGATTTTTCATTCAATGTTAAATCGCAATTTCCTTTACTGATTATTGTTTCAACCTCTCTCATCACAGAATCCTGTTTTATTTGTGTTTCCCCGGTTGAGGAAATCCTCATCATCTCAGGATATCATGTTGTTTTCATCATCATCATCATCATCCATCCAGTTGATATTAGCACAAAGGTATTAGCAAATCTCTGTGTGTATAAATGGTGTGTATTAGTTATTAGGTGATACACTTTGGGAATAGATTCAGAATAACCTTAGACACAGAAAAGGGAAGCAGGAAAACAAGAAGAAACCAAAAAAAAAGTTAATCTATTTTGTGAAAAAAAGTGTAAAAAGGTTGACAGATTCACAGGTAAATATGTAATTGAAAAACTATTACATTAGAGTTAATTTGCATTTGCTAATAACAAAATTATCAAAGGTTAATCAACAATCGTATTTGGTTTTTATCAAAATAGCGAAAAAACCAATTCAGCTTTTGTATTGATCGATACAAATTATACATGAAGGTGAGTTTGATTATCTCAATCAGGTTGAAATGTAATACTTTGGACAGAAAAGGTTGATAGTTTTATCATCATGATGCAAGATACTTGATGATGATGATGATGATGATGATAGTAGATGATAGAGACTGAGAGTTTATCATCATTCACTTTCTATCTTGTTGAAACTTATCACAATTTCCAGGTATGTCCATAGAGAAAGAGATGAGAAAAACTTGTCACCTTTCTCAATCTTATTTTTCTCTTCAAGTTATTTACTGACCATCATCTTGTTGACCATCAATTGGCTTTTATCTTCATCTTCATCATCATTATCGCCTTTTTTTTATTCACTTAATATTATCATGCATCCATTCAATTCATTGATTCATGAACCAACCTCAATGTATTCAAAATATTACATTAATTATGTAACCAGATAAGCATCAATTTTACAAACTAATGTAAAACTAATTGCAACAATTATCTTCAGTACAATTGTACTACAATTAATATTAGACTTTCTGAGTTAATTATTGCCAAATTATATTGGTTAAGCACATTAATGATTAGATAATTGCAAATGTTTGCAATTTTGCAAATCTAATAACCGACATTTAGTGTTGATTAAATTGCTTTCTGACAATTGCAACACTTATCATCGTCATCATTTACAAATGATTCCTATCAAATTGATCTGTTTCATTTATCGTTATCATCAATTTTTTTTCTGATAACAATAATGTTAAATTGTTAAATTGTTGTCAAACGGATCAATCAAATTACACGTAAATTGTGACGATCAACAAAAAATTAAATATATTGATTTGTACTTTATAAACTTGATTGTAAACTTTACAATCCCTATTGAAATAATGAACATTTATAAATTGCAAATCTTAATTATCCTCGTTAAAACATAATAAAAGTAGTTAATTGTTAGAAGCTCATTAAATTATAATTGGTTTAAAGTTGCATTAGTGAAAATTGTCATTTAAAATAAAATAATAATACAATGAAACTATCAATAGATTTAATTGTTATGGTTCTAAAGAATCAACAAATTGTGATTAAATTACATAATCGGTAATTAGATAGTCATTTTTATCGGTCGACCTTTTTCATGGATATGAAAAGTTCATCTGAATTACTATTTGGAAATGTTGTTTCCATGATAATTTCTGAATTTCGTTCAGAACTTTTAAAAAAGTTTTTCGTTTTTTTTTCTCGATTTTCACATTCGAGCCCAGGAAACTTTTTCTACTAAGTAAATAGTCGTTCCAAATATCATTTGAACAATGAGAATTACTGAGGGAACGAACAAAAAGAAAAGATTCTAAAAAGTTCTGAATCCCCTCATGATTCTGATTCATTTACATGATTACAATCAACCTCGAGGCTATTTAATGTTTTCTGAGTCTACTTGAATCTGTAGCTGCTTCTTATTTGATTTCCATTGTGATTAACCATGTAAATTGTTCATTTGCTTGATTTTTTGATTAATTTATTAGTGATAATCAAATAGAGATTGACTTTTTTGTTCAACTCGACTTATTACTAAATCTCAAATTGGTTTAATTGTTTATCTACAATTAGAGTAAAGTATCGAGATAAATCAACAATGTAACAAATATAAAATTGATCAATCAGTTTTCAAATTGATGGAAAGTCAATCATTGATAATCTAATCAATTTGGCTGAGTTACTTTCATGATCAATCAGAATCTAAGTAATCATTCATGGTGTTGATTCATTTTGTTAGATTATATTGTTTGCAGAGTTAATCAGAATCGTTCAGAAAAAAATACTCTCAACAAACTGATCATGAATGTCAGAATTATCTAATAGCTAAAGGAATAGAGATAAATTTTCAAAAGTTTACTTTATTTTCCCAATAGTCAATAGGTTGTTTTTGGATCCAAATTCATGTTTCATGAAATTTCAATAAAGTTCAACCAATGAACTGAAATCATTTACCTGTACTCGTCATGCACCGATTTTTGTTCAGCGTTTATCTCTTTTGAATCAACCTTTCTGTAAAGAATCTTGAGCTTCTCACTCAATGCTGAATTCTCATAAAAACGAAGATGAACTTTCATTGAACGATGAACAAAATTAATCTACTTATTATCGATTGCATGAAGAAATTCATATCTCATTGACTAATCCAATTTCGAGAACTGGAGTTCTAACTTGATAATCTTCATTTCCAGGGCTTTTTCTTGTGTGATCTCAAGTTCACAAGGACTCAAATCAACCTTCGAACTTCGGCCACTTCGATTGATTCTATTTGTTAAATTCTCCCATCGAATATCTTGCAAAGAATTTTTGTTTATCAGTTGAAGTTAATTTTCGAAAAGAAAATCCCCCAGAACTAAACTTCCGGTCATCTGAATGGATTTTTACCGATTTGGGTCAACTGTTTAGCCTGATAATGACAGAATCGTTCAGGACGGATCTTTTGTAAGAGGGATAAAATATTAGATGAGAAATCAAAGTTTGTAGAAAAAATTTCATGTCAGAAAAATGATAACATTTCCTGTTATTTTAAATTTCTATGTACGATTATTGAATTTACTTGATTTCATGATAATCGTTGAAAGAATCAAGCCAATGAGATGAAATAGATATCGAGTAAGTTCAAGTGGAACTTTACTATTATTGTTCAGAATTTCCACCCTTATAACCATGAATACTCGAACCTCAAGTTCAGAACTTTTCTCCTTCAATTTCTATTGTTATTTACAATCAACATTCTGATTACATGTTAATTGAATGAAGATGATGCTCCCAATTATGATGTTAATTCAATTCTT